CATGTGGCACCAACTTGTACCATCTCCTCCTCCTGCCTTCTTCCGGAGGTCCCTGGTGCTGATGATGATAATGATGGCCCGTAAGGAGATGGAGATGATGAGCGGCGGCGGTGGTCGGTGTGCCTGTGCCTGTCATCTGTCACACTCACTCGCTGCTCCCCTCCTCCTCCTCCTCCTCCCCCATCCCCCCATCCATATCCGTATCGTCAGAACCCCTCCTTTCTGTTGGCCGTGGGACGGACGCTGCTTCCATGGATCAGTACTTAGATAGCTTTTACTTGGTACATCTTGAACAGGAACCACTGTCTGGCTTGTTACGCCTCCTGCACATGGTGTTTCTGTTCCATTCCTAATCTGGCACCTCTTCTCCGTGTCTCGCCAGGCACACAACGCACTCTCGCTTCTCCCCGACTTCCCAAGGGAGAGAGAGGGGAGGAGGGGCGAGGCTTCCTTTTTCCCCTTCTCTCCCTTCTCCCCCCCCCCCCTTCTACGCGCCGCCACCTTCTCCGTATTACCTTGGTAGTAACCAGTAGCCCAGCCAGCCATGGTACGAAATATGCCCATTTAGTAGTTAGTTGCGGTATCATGTCAGTACCGAGTCAACGCCTCGTCCTCTTCTCCAACAACCCCTGCCCGTCCCATGCCCTCCCCCTACCTACCTCCCCTACCTCCCCTCCCCTCCTGGTGCCTGGTCTCAGATGTGAGCGTCACGATTGTGCTCTTGATACCACCGTGGGCCCCTACCCTACCACCACCCAGAGTCCCAGACCCAGACTGACCCAAGACTGTCCCGTCTACAGACACACTGTCCCCTTGGCATCCGTGTCCCATGCCCGGAGCGGACTCCATTTCACACCCCCTGTCCCACGCTATGGCCGGTTGACCAGCGATGGACCAGACATCCTTGCTAGCCCTCCGGGCCCTGGTTCGCCTTGTCTCTGAGACGCTATTTTACTCACCACCGGAAACTCCATGAGACTCCATAGCCACGCTCTGTCTAACTACCAGTGCTCCGTATGTAACTCACTGACTGGGTAATCAGGCCCCATGCCATGGCCATGGTCCGCGCTCCACTGCCCGGCCTTCCTCCCTCGCCCATTGTTGGCAATTATATATCATAAACGTGCGGCTCTCATGAAACCTATTTTTACCTCTTCGTCACTTATACAGCTTTCTTCATCGTCTTGACCACAGATCTCGATGCTTCTTTCTGTGTCATAGCAAGGAAGAATACAAGCACACTCACGACAGGCTCGACCAATTCAACGCGGTTTACACGCTCCATCGCATACATAATATAGCAAGCCACATTGAACATATAGCCCGGCGGCATTACACAGTCGATCATGGCACACATTGCCACTTGCATGGCTGCTGTTGAGCCTGCTACTATAACAAAGCCCGGGTCCCCTTCGCGAAACATGTTCTCAGTGAGCAGCATACCTTCATTATACATTCTAGATTTGTACCACAATTTCAAACTAACATGTCATCATTGCAGTCTTCCTCACCCCCAAAGCACTCGGCCAAGTCCTTTGCTTCCCTCAAGGCGGCGCAGGCCGAGCAGCCGCAAAGATACCAGCTGTTCCCCAAGGATAAGCCGCTGCCAACTCCAACCACTCTAAACACTGGCAAGGCCTTGCCTGTCCCTCAGGCTCCCGAATCCAATGGGAGAACCTCCCCGCTCGCCGGAATCAGGATCCGCCTGAACCAGAACAATCTCGTCAGACGCCGCAAAGTGAGCGTTCCTGAACTTGGACCCATGACCACAGTGCAAGAAGTCTCAATGGACTCCCGTATGTATTCATCATTGCCCGCCACACTTGAAGCATCGCTAACCTTTCGAAAAGCCACGATACCTGGCCGCCCGCCTCTGCACGAACGATCCGCGAGTGCCCCGGAGGAAGGAAGCAGATTGGTCGGGGCCATGGATGAGATTATCAAGGCCAGCATACACCCAGATAACCTGGCCAAGGCCATCGAAGATGCCTTTGAAATTCCTGCCACAAAGCCACGGCCATCATCACCTCGGAAACTGGCTCCCCTCGTCATCCCACCACATGACGCCCTAGCACCCTTATTAAAGTCCAAGCACTCTAGCAGTCAGCTGCGCTCCGGCAGCACACCTCCCTCGGACCAGCCGCGGTCCGGCAGAGGCGACGCGGGCACTCCTACGATCGGGCGCTTGACACCAGCCTCTACCCCCGATCTTTCCATGCCTCGATCTGCCACGGCAACAGAAGCGACTACATCTACCATCCCCACACCCGTCTCAGCGCCCCTCGTCGACCAGAGGAGCTCTCCTCATGCTACCTACGAAGATGTCGGCCAAGCGCAGAACCCATTCGGCCATCGACGAGCGGGCTCCGAGCCGTCCAACATGATGGACAGAGGGCGACCGTCAAAGAGGAACGAAAAGACGTGCAAGACTAAGAGCTCTGAGAGACGCGCTTTCGAGGAGCTCCCGGCAGGATGGAAGCCATGCGAGGCGATGAGCAAACTCAACGCCAACGACGTTGTGGTGCTGCACAAGCAGGCCCTGGGCCAAGCAGAGCGATTCGAAGTGCTCAGGGTTGAGGCTGTCGATGCTCTTTCTAAGGTGAGATGGATACTTGCGAGCAAACCAAACTCATCTGCTAACAACCAGGGAACAGGAGCTTCGCCAATTGGACGACAGAACCGAGTACCTTCGCCGGACTTACAGCTCCCTGAGAGCCGGTCGCCGAAACCTGCATTCCCGCATCTGCCAGTACCTCCGCTCGCCTCGCGTCGCCAAGTTCAGCCACGAGTCCATGCTCAAGCAGGAAGAGGCCCTCGCCGAGCTGGACGCCTCCATCGACGACTGGGTCACCAAGCTGGAGCAGGCCGAGAACCGCCGAACCCGCGTCCGGCAGAAGCTACTGGAGCACGTCGCCGCCGCCGCCATCCTCCCGGTCCCCGACGGCAGCGCCATGCCGTACCCGACACAGAGTGCCGCCGCCGCTGCCGCTGCCGCCCAGGACGTGCTACTATCGACGCCGCCCCGAAGTCCCACGAAGCAGGTCGCCATCCCCGTCCCCGGCTCGCCGCGTAACTCCCCATCGCCGCAGCGCGTGGTCGCCCAGGTGCCGAGCACCATCCTGGAACAACCCGTCGTCGAGGAGCAGCAAGCCGCCGCGGCGGTCAGGAACAGCAACCAGCCGATCAGCCGCGCGACGAGCACGGCTGCTACCATGAGCAGGGGACGCTCGGCGGTGGAGAGCATACGCGTGTACGCAGGCGACGACCTGTACGCGCTGCTCGCCGACGTCGAGGACGAGATCTCCCGGCTGGGCTCAAGCACCGACGAGATGGCCGCACCGCCGCGGACGCGCAGCCAAGAGAAGCTCCGAGACGGCTCGAGCTCGCCGCGCTCTGCGGCCCCGTCGCCGCCGCCGACGGTTGAAGCGCCTTCTCCGCCGCCGCGTGCGGTCAAGAAGGACTTTGTCAAGGAAGCACAGATGCTTCTCACCAACGCTGTTTTCAAGCCTTGATTTTTTTTTCCTTTTTTTTTTTTCTCTTTCTTCTTTCTTCATACGAAGGCATACGAAAGCCCCAAAGTAGGGTTGGCTTTGTTCATGATTATGTGTCTTTTTCCTATTTGTATTCTATCATGTGAGGGATGCAAAAACGTTGCCCATCACGATCGGTCGCGCATGTTGGAGTTGGCGGCTCACAGTCCTTTAGATACCCCCATCTGCTATTGCCCTCTTATTTTTTTTTCAAACTTTTTACTCTCCTTATTTAATATCTCTAGTTTCTTTTTTCTTATTTTAATACACGTCAATTGATGATGAATATCTTTTACTTCCCATCACCGGTTCCCCTATTGCTATCCAGGTCACTTAACTTGACTACTACACTCCTACTCACACCACCTGGGACACGACTGCAGCACCAGCACTAATAAAGAAAGACTAGAGGTGTAGTGTAGTGTGGCACATCAAACCTTGCCCTCACCCATCTATGCACCTCGAAACAGACGGTGAACGCTGTTGGTTAGCAAAAGCCAGCCACCGGAGCGACAATCGTTGCCTCGAGTCGATGAGATGAACCGGGGGCTCCTTTCGACCAGGGGTGTGGAAGCAACACTGCTAGCCCATTGTCTGGCAGCAAGGCACACAGGACTGACCCAGCTTCACCTGAAACTTTGACGTTTGCCCGACGTGAAGCTAGTGTTAGTTCAGGATACGACACCAACGACAACGCCCTGTGGGAGCGCCATACGTCTAGGGCAGGGCTGGGAGAAGGGGGAAAAGTGCCGCGACGATGGGACGGTGGACTGTGTAATTGTAACGCACCAACTCTAGTTACAGGCTCCTCCTCGTCGCGACCAGGAGGACCGATGATGACTCGATGCAAGATGCTCAGGCCATGAGGCGTGGTCGTATCCAAGTGGTTCGTAACCAGAGAGCTCTTCCCCATATTCTTCAACTCAATCAATAGTGGGGGAAGAAAAACCACCGAGTTGTTCAGCCTTGACCGCGATAGCAATCTCAACTCATTTCCACCCGGCTCTCGGTCTATAATTTCCAAGGTATTCCTGGTAGGCGTGAGAGCGAAAGTCTATTTCCCACACTCACCTGATCTAACGACTCGCCCGAAAGCCCACCCTCTCCATCCCAACATCATGCCAGAACAGACCGTCTTTGCCTTTCTGCTTCTCTCCACTTTGGCTGACCGGAAGCCCGCCCGGTAGGGAAGGACTAATAAACGCGGAAAGAAAAGCAAGCCCACGGCCCTGTCAAGCGAGATGAAGCCTGGGCTGTATGGGCCGATCTACGGCCAGGAACCGGGACAATTTGTGACTAAAATAGCACCGTCTCCGAACATGGGATTTCTCAAGCCACGTGCTGCTGCAGTAGCCCCTTGCAGCTTGCAGGTGGTTGGAAGAGACGGTGAAGGGCAAATGACGTTACTTCCAGATAGCATGTCTGCCATTCTAACTAGGGGGAATTGTAGGGGAATCCCGGTCCATGAGCAATGAATACCGAGCGTGCATACGACTGCTGCGTCTGGATGGATGGATGTTGTCGCGCACCGCACCAGAGGCGGTGCAAGATGTCTCTCAACGACTCGTGCTTGCACCAGTCCAGTACGCGTGTGGCTGTTCGAAAATACAAACCAGCTGATGTCGCATTGACACTGATAGGCATTGCACATCCATGATTTGGTGGTCCCGTACGACGTGGCAAGGTTGTATCGTCTTCTGGCAGCCTCTTCCCTGCCCTTCCAGCGCCACGCAACTCATCAAACTAGCAGATCACTAGATTGACACTACAACCGCCACTTTTCTTGTCAAACTACAGATCATAGGCGGGGAGATGGTTTGACGTTGGCTCGGTAAAGAGTTCCCGAACAAGCAAGGCTCAGGGACGCCGTCTTCCACGTGGAAGGGTTGGGAGGTTTGCGGTGAGGGGAACATTGGAGTATCTCGTACACCGATCAAGAAGACTAGGGACGAGACGAAACGACTCGAGGGTGTTGCCTAATAATTTAGACCGCGTTCTCGACACCTCGGTACGTGACTTTGGTTTCTCTCAGATGATCAATTGCAGCCGCCCAACTTGGCAGTACAAGAAGGAAAAAGGTAGTGCACACGCCACATTCTGCCACTTGGCGAGAATTGGTAGACGAATTGCCCCTCTTTTGGGTTCGTTTTGCCAAATGAACAGCCCCTTGGAATGATTCACGCTGAGACGTGTTGTGGTTCACCTACTCTATCTAGCCTTGCTGGTTGCACCCCCGCCCCCGGCGTGCTACTCTCAACGTCATTTCACCGAAGTGAACCCCTGTTGGGAGATGGCTGATTTGCAACATTGACTTTCTTTGGGTTTTTAAGCTTTGTCGGCTCCCATGTCTGAAATATTGATGCGCAAATTACCGAGAGTTCCGGCGGCTGTTTGACTCGGATCGTACGATCGAACCGACGCTGCCCACCAGACGCACACACACGCACGCCGTTTTGTCAGTGAGTGTACTTGCGAGTTGGTAATTTTGACGTCCGCAATACTACTAAACCTACCAAAAGTCCCTACGAAACCCGCATGCCAAAGAACCGGAATCGGCGGGTTATTTTTTCTTTATATCCGGTTGCATCAGAGGCTAATTGCTGTCAGGCTCCGACGCTGACGGGGGTTATCCAAAGTGTAGAGATAAGCGGACAAGATTAAGGTGGATGTGTATTGATCATGTGTGCTTCACTATCATGCGACTCTTGTGCAAGAAGAGGGCATATGAAAAAAAAAGCTTTTGATTAGTATTAAGTAAAAAGGCAAGAGAGATAACATGCCCAATACAAGGGTACGCGTCGGCAGGCATCAACAGTGTTCTCGTTGAGGCCCAGCCTGCCATCATATCTATGCCAAGTAGTCGTCCCATGATATTGCATCGCTTCAAGGATGCCCCATGCGCCGTAGAGCTCATCCGCAATATAAGGCCGTAATTCGTACGGGGCCTGATTAGGTGACCACTCTCGTATCCCGCCGGTTCGGCTGAGCAGAGCAAGCTCGCCCTTCGCAAAATCCGGCAAATGCAGAAAATAAACAAAATGATACATGTATGTCATCGCTAGTTCGTTTCGCCGTCGTTCGCAAGCAACACTAGGAATAGTGCTGGGGACAAAGGCGTGTCGTCACCAAGGTTCCAGCGTTGTCTTGTCCCTCGCCATGTGCACCACGTGCCTGCTGATTTTGTTTCAGTGAGTGAGTACTTTCACAGCCTGCAGAATAAGGCCGAAAATGAGGCCCCGCGCAACTTCCTCGATTTGGAGGCAGTCAAATACACGACCCAGCGCTTCCCCCGTGGCAGCCTGACCCATGACACCCATCAGGGCTGCCGGCACTCCGCTCTGGATCAACAGCTTGCGCGCCTTGGCGGCCAATTGCTCCTTCTCTTCGTTCGTCAGCTCCGCCGGCCAGGCAGCACGCTCTTCCTCCGTGGGCATGCTGTTTTCCCGCACTTTGCGCAGCTGTTCTGCGATGCCAGCATCCGCGGTATACGCGTCGAGCACAGAAGACTGGATGAGAGTCTGCACAGTAAGCAGAGACGGGTTTCCAGGCCGAAGTAGGAACGATTTCGCAGCCGTGAGTAAGGTACGGCGAATGTTCCACGCCGAGGAAAGAGTGTACATCTCATTGATCACAGCAAAGATCAACTCCACAGCAACTCTCGTTTCGCCCTCGCTAAGTTTCGAGTGAGCCTTAATCGGTCGGACAGCCGACTTCTTCCCATTTGTTGCGGAGCCTTGCGTGGATCCTATCGAGGGCTGAGACATATGTCCAATAGAGTGGGTTTTGCTATGAACAATCTCGTTTACCGCGACCATCTCGCCATTCAAATGTGATTCGTAGTCGTCGGTCATCTCATCCGGTGGAGGCGGCAGCTTAACGTACTCCAAGCTGATGGACGACGGAGACCGCAGCGGCGGCGCCAAGCTTGAGGCCCTACTATGTTCTCTGCTTGGTCGAGCGCTAATGGAGGCAGATGCTGTAGAATCCAGGCGCTCAGAACGCCCCACGCGAGTCATATCTGCCTCGTTGTCACTCTGGAACTGAAGGCTTGGACGACGTTCCATCATGGGCATCTTGCCAGGTTGGGTAGAGACAACAGAAGACCGCTGGCTATCTATACTGGCACGTTCCGATCTCGCAGGTGATGTTTTGAGTGTGTCTGTTCTGACTGGTGTTGAGAGCGAAAGGCGCTTACTTGGCGTCAGATCAATAGATTGACTTGGAGCCTTCTTGCCAATGCCAGGAAAGTTTCCAAAGACGCCAGTAACGCCATCGACCAGTGTCTTTCCACCCTCCATAGCACCCTTCGGCGCAATCGAAAGAACATCGAGCATGTTTTTGCCCACAGATTCCCAGGCAAATGTCTTGCTGTTGCCATGCGTATGGCCCTGCGACTTTTCAAGGAATCTTTTCATGCCTTCGCTCTCGGCGAGAGATTGATACCAGCAGGCATCACGCAAATAGCGTTCCAGCTCGCCACGTAGCGATTCTCTGCTATGAATTTTCCAGCTCGGTAGCTCCTTGTGTAGCTCGGTAAAAGCAGTAGCACCAGATACCGTCGCGATTCGTCGAAGAATTTCATGCAGTGTCTCAAAGTCAGAATATCTTCTCACGATCATCCATCCAGTGTGTCCAGCCGAAGACGGTTCAACTTGAATCAAGTAGTCCCAGTTTGGTTTACTTCGAATCTTGGCAGTGTCGCCAGTCGCGTCGTCGTGAAGCGTAAAAGAAGCATTATGGAGGGTCAACGGAGCCTTCTTGGGCGCGTTTTCCTCCTGTTGTTCAGGTTCTGCTGCGGGTACAATCTGGTCAAAATTGGTGAAGGGCTGACTGTCTCTGCGTTCAGGCTTTGGTGATGAAGAATTCTGACTTGATGTGTCAATAGTCGAGCGCGGAGTCACAGGGGTAAAGGCTGGCTCGCTTGCGCCATCAATAGAAGTTCCAAACGGGGAAGAGCGACCTTGAGCAAGTGGAGGTGTCGAATCCTCTGCTCCCGGTCCAACTTTGCGGTTGGAGGTGGCCTCGTCAGTGGAAAACGGATCGATGCTTTGTTTGGATGGAGTTCCCGAATCATTGGCAATCGATCGCCTACCATCCTCAGCGTCTTCCATCATCCCGCTCATGCGCTTCATCTCTTCAATTGCCACTTCGACTTCTTCGTCAGCTTTGCTAAGCCGCTTCCTGTGCACTTGAACTTCCTTTCTCCTACCGCGCTCAAACTCTCCGGAAGAGCGACTTGCAGGTTTGGCAATGCCTATGTTTCCAACGTTCCCATCAATATCTGCAAAAATATTATTGGCAGTATCTCGGCCCCGTTGCATACCCACGTCGATCGCCTGGTTGATGTCCGGCTCTCCTGCCTCTAAAAGATACACAATCCAGCCATTGATCCACTCGGGCTTGCTGCACGTCTGCAGCAAGCTTTCCAAGACTGTGTTGGCGAGAACTTCTCTCAGAAGAGCACGAGCTGGGTCGCAGTTGTAAGCACTGGGTTCCATAAAAGAAAGCAGGTCATCCGCAACCATTTTGAATTTGGCGGCTTGCTGCTTTTGGTTCAGCAAGTTCGCCAGCCGTGAATCCGTATTTGAGGCAAGATATGTATAAACAGCATCGACAGCAGTCATTTTTGACTCGGCTGGCACATCGGCGAAGGCTGCCGCGAGCTCTGACATGAAAGCGATAGCGATTGAGGAAGAATTGGTAAGGAGATCGAGAAAAGAGTCGGCGGGTCGTTTCCTAGCCATACGATTCGAGACGGCTAGGATGTATGATGTGAGTGTCTTGCGGCAAGCAAGAGGGAACGAGTGATCGGTCGGGATGATAGGGCTGTACCACCATTTGACGTAATCCTTTATTATTGTATCGACAAGGCCGCTCAAAGCCTCGCGGGTTTCCGGTCGGAAGTCGTCGAAGCCTTTGAAAATGAGTTGATCTCCCTTATCACTCTCGTTCTCCTCTTCAATGACCCTAGTAGTCTGGAGATCAATCCAAATGCGTTCCAGCGCATCAGGGCCTTTCTCGCCGCGGACGGTTCGAGCAATGTTTGGGTTGCGACCTTCCCAGACCACGAAGGCGGCGGCACCTCCCACCGCACCGATGACAAGCAAGCCAAATTGGCCAAGGATCGCATATGTGACACCTGCAAAGCCGACTGCAATGCCGGCTAGCGTCGTAGGGGATGCCTTCGCTAGGAAGTTCAGGCCTTTAGTCAATAAGACAGACTCCTCTTTGCTACTCGATTGCGCAGGCACAGGAATGTCGTCCATTGTCTGCTTCGTTATCGCTTCGGCGGCGGCATCTTGCTTTTCGGCTTGCGACAGAAGAAGTTCATTCTCGCCAGCTTGTGCGACGCTGGTGTCGGGGGCAGTTGGCTTTGCGCCATCGCGAGGAGGGGCTTCGAGACCCTGCGCAGGCTCGGCAGCGTCGGCCATTGAAGTACGTCACCACGTCGTCTTACGGCTTGCGGTTCTGGATCTGGAAGAAATATTCAAGGCGTGATGAGTTGATGGCATGTCAAGCATGAATGAGTATTGTCGCTGTTGGCGAGGACGGGCTGAGACGATTAGTTGCAATGGGGTTGACTAGAAACATACCACAGACATCCCTTGCCAAAGTTCGGAGCTGCCAGCTGCGTAATCCCAATTTAGATTGCTTGAACTGGGGCGAACCTTCAGGGGGTGAACAGTGGAGGTGCTGCCAAACAGTGCCAATCAACGTTTCGATCGCGCCCCCCTGACACTAGCCTTGCGCCAAGTTATCTGTCTTCTGGCCCATTTAAAGCGGCCTTGCTGGAGAAAATGCAAGAAAGCGCGGGCGATGTCAAGGCGGATGAAAAGTTGATGATTTCTATCTCATTTTGCTGTAGTGACAATGACCTAAGATCGGGTTCACTTCAGTCGCGGATTAAACCTATCCGTTTGTCTGCCGGCCCGGCAGAAGAACTGCCAGCTGGCAAACTGTACAGTCACGTGCGCAGGCGTCGTCGTTGCGTTTGTCCAGGCGGCCCCGTCAGTTGCAGCGCGTTTGTCAGGCAGCCAGCGCGTCTCAACGCCGCATCGCCAACGGCTCACTTCCCAGTTCTCACACATCATCACCTCATCCCAGGAATCAGGAATTGTCTGGTCCAAAGAAACTTACTTCGAATCGGTTTTAACTGGTCTTTCCTAACTCCTCCCTTTGCAATCTTTTACGCCGGTCAGCAGGCATGGGAAACAAAAGACGCGCCAGTGTGGCCGAGCCCTCCGACGGCAGCGACGCTGAGGTGACACGCAAGGTGTCCAAGAAGAATAAGACTAGCGGAAGCGTCATCTCGCCGGCCGGAAAAGATGATGATGGTAACCCCTTCTGGGAGGTAAGTCTTTCTACCTATAGTGATGACTGCTTCCAGGAGTTAATGTTTTGTCAAAGCTTTCCAACAAGCGCCGAGTGGGAGTTTCTCAGTACCAAAACAGGGTGATGATTAACATCCGGGAGTATTACGACAAGGATGGGAAGGCCCTTCCTGGCAAGAAAGTAAGCGAGCTGTCTATCGACCTACCGTATTCAGGGCTAACGCGTTTAGGGTATCTCGTTGTTGCTGGACCAGTACCTTGCGCTTGTCAAACTTGTGCCTTCCATCAACGGAAAGCTCCGCGAAATGGGCCAGGTCGTTGACACGGCAGATAATGCGGGGGAAGATACCACTGCTACTGCGAAAAAGTCCAAAAAGGAAAGGTCGGACAAGGCAAACATTGAAGCCACGAGTGACGAAGACGAGACCTAGCGAGCCTCGGCTGAAGTGCCCGAAGGTGATTTGCCCAAGCCCTCTGAGGAGGGAAAACGCAGCAAGAAGGCCAAAAAGCGTTCCAAGAAGGAATCGAAGAGGGAAAAGCATACCTAATCTTCTGCAGAAGAACGTCTCCCTAGGCATGGCGGCGCAAGCGAAGGCACTGGCCTCGCAGAGGAAAACTTTTCGTTTTTCGTCAATTTGCTTACTAATGATTGTTGTACGAGGTCGAGAATTGTACATCTATGTGGAAGGAACTTTCTTTAGTCTCACGAGGTGAGTAAAAATGGGCATTCGACGCCTGGACTCTTAATGCCCATCAGCACGAGCTTAGCAAACAATGTGAGACCTTGCACTGTTGTGTCCTTTTTTTGGTGGAGGGTGATGTGTGCAAAACACCATCTGCAAAGAATGCATATCTGCCATCCGAGAATACTCGGTTCGATGGCCAATACTTGCGACCGATGTGAAGCTCGTCGTGACACGCCTCGGCGCGGACGCCAGCTCCGGCAGCATGAATCTGGGCCGGTCCTTTGATACCGGCGCCCAACAGCCAGGTTTCAGCCAGACTTACACAGCAGAAACGGCCAAGCCTTTCAAGCAAAGTCGGCGGCAGAGGATCGTCCCCAATAACTGAATTTACCACGCCCTTTGGTAGGGCTCAAGCCAGTGGCGCACTTGTGTTGCATCTGTCGTGGCAAACGATTGGATGTACAACGCGCCGAGAATGCCAGAGGGGATCGTTTGACGAAGAAACTTAGACAATCAAAATGTGGCGTCTGGGTGCAACACCTTTTGTTTTCTTTTTCAGTACACGCGGAAAGTCCAGAATACCATCTTAATTTACGATTGCCACGGCATGCGGAATACAGCCATGCCGACGACACCCACTTACATACATACATAGGAGCCAATGTAGACAAGGCAACGATCCGGGCACAAGATCGAGAGTTAACCTATCTTACCTCCTCCTAGTCCGTAGCCACTTTACCCATCATCCTAATTGCATAACACAGATTAATATGATAGTTCGTAAAAAGCGGACCACAAAGGTTTTCGGACGTCTTGTGTCAATTCAGAGCCTCGCTTCGGGGTCCAAGCCAACGTCCTTGTCCAAGACACATCCCTTGTTGTACAAAAATATCAAGGGTCCTATTCTCGCAATACATACCAGCATTTGATACATCCGAGAATAGAGGAGTTCTTGGTTTTAACGGCGTATTCTGTTCTCTGGGCTTGCGTCACCACGGCTCAATTTCTCTCTGAGGCTTACGGTCCGGGACGGGAGCCTCTACGCTCAACTCGCCTTCCGCAACAGCACCAGCGGCGCAGCTTCTGTACGATTCTCTTCTCTTGGAAGGGGGGGACGGTATCACGGTATTTGAACGAGCGGGTGCACAAATCAGGGTAAGTAGGCCCTTCTATTCATCTGCACCCAGGATGTTTTGTCTGTATCACTTGGTCAAGTGATTGATGGGTTGAACAGCCTGCGATCTCGATGGCATGCATATCATGCCAACCATCTTGAACAAAATGAAGAGTCCTTAGCTTCGGATGAATTGACCTCCGTGGTAACTTCCGTGGTCACCTGCCGGGAGGAAGGTTGCCGCTGGCGAGAAGCTATTTGAAGGCCAAGCTTGCCCGTCCCCCGTCAATGAAAACAAGACTGAACATCCCTCTTCTTACACTAAACAAATACGAATTTCTGGTCAAATACCTACTCCTTTTTGTTCATTCACTTATATAATGCGATCACTTCTCGCAAGTGCAGCTAGTCTCTGCGGCTGCAGTGGCAGTATCCCATCCGCGGCAAGTCTCTTGTTCAGCACGCGGCGCAGCACCATGGTTGGTGCCAGCACGATGCCTCCGGGGTTTACCGCAACCGTTGGTCGGCTGGACACATTTTGCTTGCCTGACAAGATCACGGGTTCGGCCTATGACCTGTCACTAGCACGTGCCATGATTCAGGCATGGCGGCGAGACGGCATCTTCCAGATCGCCATGTCAGCGCAGCAACAGCGCATCTACAAGAACGCCAACGCCGCCAGCAGGCGTTTCTTCCAACGAAAGAGTGCTGAGAAGCAGCTATGTGTCAACGACAAGAGCTACGCAGGTTACATCGCGTCGGGCGAAGAGATTACGCACGGCGTGGCCGATTACTCGGAGATTTTCACAGTGACCAAAGACCTACTGGAGGATGACCCCAGGGTCGCTGGGAAGTGGCCGTGCCATGGACCGTGCCCATGGCCAGACGAGGACATGAAGTTGAACATGACGGCATATACGGAAGATCTCTCACGCAGTGGCGACCAGCTGATCGAGATGATTGAGCTGGGTCTCCACGTTCCACGGAGGTCTCTAAAGAGGTATACCGAGGACGGCTGGCACCACATGCGAGTACTGAGGTATGAGTGTGGCGATTTCAACGAGAAGAAAAAACTGGAATGGTATCTAACAGATGACGCAGGTTTCCACACATGGACCGAACCAACGGCAAGGGAAAGAAAGGGCGTGGCATTGGCTCTCATACAGATTACGGTCTGTTGGTCATGGCTGCGCAAGATGACGTTGGCGGTATGTATAACCGGAAAATAGATGCAAAAAGGCCAGGATTTGCTCATTTTTGACAGGTCTCTTCGTACGGCCACCATGCCAGGGCGAACACCACGCCAATTGGGAGAAGAGTGCAGCCGGGCTGCGGGAGGACGAATCTGGTTGGGTGTACGTGCCGCCAGTCCCAGGCGTCTTCACCGTCTTTCCTGGTACGTAAACAGGGTCCAAAACTTCTCTGCTCGGGGAAGGCGAGGCAAACATGGAGGGTGGACGGCAATGCTGACGGGTGGTACAGGTGACATGATGCAGTACATGACAGGCAGCTACCTCAAGTCGACGCCTCACAAGGTCGGCCTCAACACCAGGGAGCGCTTCGCATTCGCCTATTTCCACGAGCCGAACTTTACGTCCGTCATCAAGCCCCTGCCCGGGTACGACGGTGCTGCCGAGGCGGGCGACGGCGGAAGCGAGAGCATTCATTACGGGACGCACTTCACCAACATGTGCCTGCGCAACTACCCGGATCGCATCACAACCAAGAAGCTGCTGGGGGAAGACAGGTGCAAAATGCTCGCCCTGCCGCAGCTGCGGCGGGAAGTGGCCCCGTCGGGCCCGTCGAGTGCCGGCGGCGGTGGTTGCGCCGGAGGTGAGGCGATGATGCGCGACTGTGGTGGCGGTGGCTACCCGGTACCGAGCGTCGAGATCCCGAGCGCATGACACATGGGGAAGCGGGGTGATGAGACGAAAATAGCGCGCAATATCCGAGGAACAAGGGACCCCTGATGCTTGGCTTTCTTTCCCTTTGTTCTTTTTTCTTTTTTCTTTTTGTCTATGTTTACATGTCTTTTCTAGAGTCTGATTGGGAAAGGGGCTGCACGGTTGTTGGGTCAAGCACGGGTTGGCGCGGGCGAATCATGGGGAAATCCTCAAGCATTGGCGAAGTGGCGCGGCGAAGGGAAAGCCCGAAAGAAATCGAAAAAAAAAAAAAAAAATCAACGGGGTAAGATGGTGTGAGAGATTGTATGTCCTGGTATTCAAGGTAGATTGTGGGTGCTCGGTCAGTTGGTATATAAGTAGGAACAACTATGATGAATGACAATACGCATGCACATCCCGATCGGATGGATCTACTGTTCATCATTGATAAAAAACCTGCATAAATTTTGATGCTTGGCTCGTCTTGAAACGAGGCATGACAAACTTGATGCGACGCGACACAAAGCGAGGAAAAAAAATATGCGGCCGGCAAATGATGCGTATCAGTATGCGTATTCGCCAACAAGTCATGTAAGCCTTGCAGATTCTAGTTAAGGCAGCCACACCGCAAAGGCGAGGTACATAGGTACTTCGTACTGTGAACCCCTGTTGAATCGACCGCCTCTGCTTTTCTTGGTCTGTTCTTTTTTTTCTCGGCTTTGGATCGGTGGGGCAGTGATGGAAAGCCGGCGTCACTGCGAGATTGTGCATGTATTCGTATGCTCGGTGGTAGATGTGCTAGTGCAAGGCCAGAATAGCGCCCGCAAGGCTGGGGTCGGATAAACTTTGGGTAGCATGGCGCGTAGCGCACTTTTGCCTTTTTGGCCAAGACGCAGAGCGGGCTCGCATCACCAACACCCTGTATCAGTAAGAGGTACCTTGATAGGGGCGCACCCATTTTGTACCAGTCTGGCAGCTTTTTGCGGGATATGGCTATTGCATCCGTACCAGTCTTTTATATAGACTGGCTGTGAAATAAAATTATGTATGAGCATCATTGAACCTTCTGCTCTAGTCATTAACTTTTTCTAGTTATCTACCTCGGGTAATTAAGCTCTTTCTTCGTCACGGCCTCGAACTACCAAGTAAGTACCTCTCTTTGCCTGGCCTTTCCGGGGCCCGCAATTAAATCTTGCCAGGGGATCGTCCACTTCGACGGCTACTGGGGGCCTGCCAAACTCTCCAACTTGCCATCCTTTTTATTGTTTTCCCTTTTCCATACCGCCTCCAACACCAAGGATTTCTTCTTGTACCTTCTGTCCTTCACTTTTCGCCTTTCTACAGCTTCCCGGCTGCATTTTGCACCAATTTGTCGACTCCTTGCCCTGTAAGTATCTTCATCTCCGATCCCGCACCAGTCAACTTTTTTTTGTCGCCTCCCACGCTACTCCCTCACCCCCCAATTGGCGCGCGAGGTGCCTTAGTATTGTTCCTGATCAACCTACTGACAATGGCGACAAAAAAAAAGCCACAGGCCCAAAACCTCATTCAAGCCTCGCATTCAACTGCGCCGAGTGTACTTCCTAGTTGGGAATCGATAGATCACACCCCAGCGGTAGCCTGCATTGCAACGGCGTCTGACGCAACGCACCATCTGACCGAGCGATCCTATCTCAGGTAAGCCCGCACAACACCGAGCCAAGACCCTCGCCTTCTCTACCCGTGCGACCGTCACGATCTCTTCGCTTCTCCCTTCCTTTCAAATCCCTCGAAACATCCTATTACCCATCGACATGCCTCTCGCCCTTCCCAATGGACGGTCCTGCTCGCCAGCACATACTCACACCCCGCCTAGGACCCATCTCCGAAGCCCCGCGTCATCGCCCTCGCCAATGTCGTAAACCGAGTCGCCGAGTCACCTTTTCAGACACCGTCGAGATGAATTTTCTTCCCACGCGCTTTCGAGGCGAAACCACAGGCCCCGCCAAGGCCGCACCTCCGACATGGGCCGGCAAGACCATCACCCCGTTTCTGCAATTCCTCGGCCGACTCGCTGGCTCCCACCCCATCCACACCATTGTCCTCGTCGCCGTCGTCGCCAGCTTCTCCTACATTGGCCTCATCCAGGACAGCCTACTCGAGAGAACTGCCACCGTCAGCAAGGCAGACTGGTCCTCCCTGACCGAAGGCAGCCGCGATCTTTTCGCCGGCCCTGATACCTCCTGGCGATGGCAGAGCGTCGAGGCTGGCGCCCACAGCGCCAGCAACTCGGACCACCTCGCTCTCTTGACCCTCGTCTTCCCGGATACCCTCTCGGCCGATTCCATCGATGTTGCGCCTCTCGCCGAGGCCGTCCCGACCCCGCAGAACCTTTCCATAACCTCACTGCCCGTCACCGAGAACACCTTTACCACCTACACACAGGACAGCATCCTAGCCTATTCCCTCCCCTACACTCAGGCTCGTGAGTTCCTTACCGCAGCCCAAGAAATTCCCTCCGAGAATAGCGAGTCGGTCCTCACCCGCCATGGCCGCGAGAAAAAGATGTGGATCATGAAGGCCGCCAAGGTACACACCCGCAACACCTTTGTCGAGTGGGCTCGCAACGCCTGGACAGAATTTATCGATCTGCTCAAGAACGCCGAGACCCTCGATATCGTTATCATGGTTCTTGGCTATCTGTCCATGCACCTTACTTTCGTCTCTTTGTTCCTTTCTATGCGCCGCATGGGCTCAAACCTCTGGCTCGGCATGAGCACCCTCTTTGCCTCTGCCTTCGCCTTTGTCTTTGGTCTCGCCGTCACCACTAAGCTTGGTGTCCCCATCAGCGTCATCCTACTGTCCGAGGGCTTGCCTTTCCTTGTGGTCACTATTGGTTTCGAGAAGAACATTGTCCTCACTCGCGCCGTCCTGAACCACGCCATTGAGGCCCACCGCAAGCAGTCCCAGAACGGCAAGAGCAAGAGCAAGTCCCAAACCCAAGATGCCATCCAGACTGCCATCTATGCTGCAATCAAGGACAAGGGCTATGAGATCATCCGCGACTATGCTATCGAGATTGCCATTCTGGTACTTGGCGCTGCTTCCGGTGTCCAAGGTGGCCTTCAACAGTTTTGTTTTCTTGCCGCTTGGATTCTCTTCTTTGACTGCCTTCTGCTCTTCACCTTCTACACTGCGATCCTCAGCATCAAGCTTGAGATCAACCGCATCAAGCGTCATTTGGAAATGCGTCAGGCTCTCGAGGCAGATGGCGTCAGCCGCCGTGTTGCTGAAAATGTCGCCTCCAGCAATGACTGGCCCGACGGCGATGCCAAGACCTCCAAGGACAAGGCCCTGTTTGGCCGTGGCATGAAGAGCAGCAGCGTTCCCAAGTTCAAGGTTCTCATGATTTCTGGCTTTGTCTTCATCAACGTGGTCAACATCTGCACCATCCCTTTCCGCAGCGGCAGCTCGTTTGCTACTCTTCGCTCCTGGGCCGGTGGTCTTGGTGGTGTCGTTTCCACCCCTCCTGTGGACCCTTTCAAGGTTGCCGCCAACGGCCTGGATGTTGTTCTCGCGGCTGCCAGGTCTCGTGGCCAGGCTGTTCTCGTCTCCATCCTCACACCGATCAAGTATGAGCTTGAATATCCCTCTATCCACTACGCTCTTCCTGCTGCTGTCGCCGACGCTGCCGTCCACGGATCCGAGCGCAGTCAATTTGACAGCTATGGAATGGGTGGTCGTGTCGTTGGCAGCTTGCTCAAGAGCCTTGAGGACCCCATTCTGTCTAAGTGGATTATCGTTGCGCTTGCCTTCAGCGTTGGTCTCAACGGTTACCTGTACAACATTGCCCGCTGGGGTATTAACGAGCCCAGCATTTCCGAGACTTCTGAGCACCACATTGACCGCAAGGAGCTTGCCCGTGCCCAGCGCTTCAATGAAACTGAGCCCAGCACCATCCCTCTTGGTCAATACGTTGCTCCCACCCCCCAGCCTACCGAACCCGCAACGCCTGCCCTTACCGATGACGAGGGTGATAGTCTGGTCATGACCCGGTCAAAAACCACGCCCTCTACACCCTCAACCAACCGAAGCAACGCCGAACTCGACCAGATGCTTCTTGAGAAGCGTGTTCCCGAAATGACGGACGAAGAAGTCGTGTCAATGTCGATGCGCGGAAAGATCCCCGGTTATGCCCTTGAAAAGACTCTAGGTGACTTTACTCGTGCCGTCAAGGTCCGCCGTACTATCATTTCTCGCACCAAGGCTACATCCCACATCACCCACAGTCTAGATCGCTCTAAACTACCGTACCAAAATTACGATTGGGAGCGCGTCTTCGGTGCTTGTTGCGAAAATGTTGTCGGGTTTATGCCTCTTCCCGTTGGTGTTGCTGGCCCGCTTGTGATTGATGGTCAGAGCTACTTTATCCCCATGGCCACAACCGAGGGAGTCCTGGTCGCCAGTGCTAGCAGAGGCTGCAAGGCCATCAACTCTGGTGGCGGTGCTATTACTGTTCTGACTGGTGACGGCATGACTCGTGGCCCCTGTGTTAGCTTTGAGACTCTGGAGCGCGCTGGTGCCGCCAAGCTGTGGCTCGACTCGGAGGAGGGCCAGAGTGTGATGAAGAAGGCCTTCAACTCGACGAGTCGCTTCGCCCGTCTGCAGACTATGAAGACTGCTATGGCTGGCACTAACTTGTACATTCGCTTCCGCACAACCACCGGTGACGCCATGGGCATGAACATGATTTCCAAGGGCGTTGAGCACGCTCTCAACGTCATGTCCACTGAGGGTGGCTTTGACGACATGGTCATTGTTTCCGTCTCGGGCAACTACTGCTCGGACAAGAAGCCTGCTGCTATCAACTGGATCGAAGGCCGTGGCAAGAGCGTTGTCGCCGAGGCTATTATTCCTGGCGATGTTGTTAAGAGTGTTCTGAAGTGCGACGTTGAGACGCTTGTTGAGCTCAACATTAGCAAGAACCTCATTGGTTCTGCCATGGCTGGCGCCATGGGTGGTTTCAACGCCCACGCCGCCAACATTGTTGCCGCCATCTTCCTCGCTACCGGCCAGGACCCCGCCCAAGTGGTGGAAAGCTGCAACTGTATCACTGTCATGAAGAACCTCAAGGGCTCACTGCAAATCTCTGTTTCGATGCCTTCTCTAGAAGTCGGCACTCTTGGTGGTGGCACCATTCTCGAACCCCAGAGTGCCATGCTGGACCTTCTTGGCGTCCGCGGGTCGCATCCTACGAACCCGGGCGATAATGCCCGCCGCCTGGCCCGTATTATCGCCGCTTCGGTGCTTGCTGGTGAGCTGTCGCTGTGCAGCGCCCTGGCTGCTGGCCACTTGGTCCGCGCACACATGCAGCACAACCGCAGTGCTGCGCCCTCGAGGACGACGACTCCCGCACCCCCTGCTACACCTGTCTCACTGGCTATGACGAACGGACTGGAAAAGGCCAATGGAAAGAGTGCAGCGGCCCAGCAGCGATCTAAGCGGTAAAACAAGAAGCAAGCAGGAAAAAAAATAGTCATGATACCAAGATAAGAGATTGGATTGGGCGATTTTCATTAGTTTGGAAGGGAACACATTTTGTTACCTCGAAACATTAGATGGTGTGCACTCGTTTTATGTCGTGCACGGTGCTACTTGCTCGTTTCGGTTCCATAGAGCTCTGCATTATTAGGCATATGCTTTATTAATATCCATTTTATTATTGTTCTATACCCTTGTCTATTGCAGTGGCAGTCTCTGCATTTTGTATTTGCGACGAGAGTGCCCGGACCTTGTCGACAGCTGGCGACGCGGAGTTGACCACGTCGACGCCCTGGCCCCTGAGGGCCTCGACAACCTCGTCCCATTTATCCGGGAACACGGCTCTTGTCGCGTCGCCGAGGACTACAGTGCGGAAGCCGAGCTGCGCGGCATGCTCGGCCGTCGCGCGGACGCAGTAGTCGAACGTCAGCCCGACCACGTACACGTCCGTCACCGCCTCGCCGCGCAGCAAGTCCTTCAGCCCACTATCCGACTCCCCAAAGGGGTCGCAGAAGGCCGAGTACATCTCCCTATCCGCGCGGCGCCCCTTGTCCACCACGCGGACGCCTTCAGGCACGGGATCCAGGACCAGCTGCGCGCCGGGGGTGCCGGCGACGCAGTGCGGCGGCCACAGCGTGGTGGTGTAGGAGGCGCCGGTGGTCGGGTGGGTGATGGTGTGGGAGGAGGTGAAGGGGGCGGCGCCGGGGTGCTGCCGGGCAAAGGAGACGTGGTCGGCGGGGTGGAAGTCGCGCGTGGCGATCTTGACGGGGAAGGGCAGGGCGAGGAGGGCGTCGACGATGGGGAGGATGGCGCGGGCGTCGGGGACGGCGAGGGAGCCGGACTAGAGGGAGGAGAGAAGTCTCAGTTTAGGTGCGGGGCGATATGGGTTGGGGAAGGGCGCACGGGGGGGCAAAAGTCCTCTTGCAGGTCGACGATGATGAGCGCGGGGTGGAATGCGGACATGATGGTGTTGCTGGCGCAAAATCTGACAATGTGTCAGTGGTAGGTAAGTAGGTAGGTAGGTAGGACAAAGGATGACGACAAGGGGACAGGGCGGACAACTTACTTGGGTGGAGTGTGGTAACTAGTTGGTTGGAGTGTGGTAACTAGTTGGTTGGAGTGTGGTAACTAGTTGGTTGGTTGCTCGCGGAATGAAAGCCGCCCGCCCCCGCCCCCCCCCCGGCTTGTTGGTTATCGTCTTTATTATGATAACTGCTGCACCACTGGACGGTAAAAAAGCTCGCTCTTGTTAAATGAAGCGGTCGGAGACTTTAATGGTATGCGATGAGCGCCGCCGACTTGCAAAGACGGGCATACCGGCCGAGGCGCGCCTGGATTCAGCCAGCCTTACATGGGCCGTGGCATACAATGTAAGCATAGTGATGCCATGTCGCCGGGGCGACAAATAATAGAAGATGCGACGCAAAAAAAAAAGCGAATACACGCTGTCATTTTCTAAATTTAACAGTCTCTTTGTGAAGGCGGCGGTGACAGAAATAGGGCCTAGAACATGGCCTGCACCCCTCCGTTTACACCGACTATAATAATAATTCTGTTTGTCTGTTTGTCTTTTTGTTTGTTTGTCTTCGATTATACCCTGGCAAAGCTGCCTCTTCGTCGCAGTTTCCATTTCGCCGAACGGTGAAGTTTGCAGCTCGTCGTCGAAATGGGCCCTAGAAAAAAGAGCCAGCGCATGCATGCATGGGCGACAAGCAACAGTTGACGATGAGCCATTCGGTCACCCTCCTTCTCTAACGGAACAGAAAAAGCATAAAGAGACCGGGTTGAGACGTTGTATCCTCATAACCACTCCCCTCACCTTCACTCATCACTTCTCTTCACAACCACCTTTGCTACTTGCCAGGGTTCATCTTCGATAAGCCCCCTTCCTCACCACTACAACGGCAACCTCTTTCTTTTTGAAGAAGGAACAAAAAAACAACACAGCTCCCCCCAACCGCATTCTTATTTCGCGTCGCGATGCCTACTCTCGTCGGATCCATGCTCCTCCTGCTTGTCGCTGCGGCGGCCGGCGTGAGCGCCGCCCCGTCGTCCGGCGGCTGCAATGAGGGTGATTACAAGTGTGCTCGCTACACCAGTACCAATGAGCAGGGGTTGGTGCAGCATACCAACCTGATCCTGGTCTGCGGTGCTGGAGGGGTCTGGCAGACGAGCGCCCAATGTGGTGGCGGTCGAGACTGCTGCCATCAGAGCGCCGACAACAGACCTTTCTGTTACTGCTAAAAAAGGGGCGCCCTATGAGACTTTGAACTGGCATCTTGGGGCAAGATTGAAAAAATAACTTGTTGGAATTGGAATGGAGCGTTGAACTGAGTAGGGTTGGAGTGGCTGGCTGGCTGGTTCGTTGGTCTTGTCACGGTTGCATTGCGATAGGCGGAATTGGAGCCGCTTGGGCTGTCAGGACTCAGACAGGGTCGTCGGGTTCAGTGTCTCGTTGTCAACTCAGCTGTCGGATAACTACAAGGAAGCGAGCTTTTGGTTTTGGAGAGATAGTGTACTCAATCAACGCCTTCGACTTACTTTGAAAGCCGTCCATACCAGGGCGCGCCCGTTCCACGCAATGTAAGCATAGTCATGTCAACTGTTATTTACAGTAAAACGCTCGGGACACGAACGCGTATCAGAAATATAGTGATATAGCTAAGATGCCAGCGACGGGCGCAGGCGATGGGATTGCTTGTAGTATTTCTCTCTAGATTCCATCAAGGTTGCCGTCGACAAGCCACAGCTTTAGGCTGAGCCCGACAGCTCTCGCTACCTGCCCCCGTGGTCTTTTTTTTGTGCAGCAAAAAGTGTGACGAGAATGCAATCTTCTTTCTTGTCTAAGAAATTCTCTCTTGACATATGGCTTTTACCTGCTTCTGTTGCAGTTAACCTGCTCGTCTTTGCGCAGGCCTTGGCAAAAAGCGAGAGCGCGCGAGTAACATACTCGAGTCCATGAGTCGTTACAGAGCTATCAAGACACCCTCCTTCCCCGGAGGGACGGAGGCGTATAAAGAGGCCAGAGTTTGCGATTGAGACAGATCCATGTAGAAGTTGAGCGCCACAAGGGGCGGCTGGCGGCTGGTGCCGCCTGTCAGGTCCCATCCAGGCCAGGCTGTCTGTACATGCTAAACGAGGTAGCAAAGGGGAGCAAGAGACAGACAAAAACAAGAAAAAAACAAGCGTGGGTGCTCTAAGAGACTTTTGGCGGGCATTTTGGAGCAAAGAGGAAAATCTTGCTGCCTCCTCCTTAGCTATGGAAACGGCATAGCACAGGTGGGCGACGCGCTCTCGGCCATTGGGTTATGGTATGGGGGCCATCAAGGACGGTGCGGTAAATTAAGCGGGAGGCAAAGTATACAGAAATGACAAGAAAACAAGAGCAATTCTAATTACCAATGGGACGTCATGTCGCGTGCCTTTTTTCTTGTAGCCGCGGCTGGGCGGCGCCGGGTGGAGGCCGGGCCGGCTGGGTCCCCGGACGGGAGCCCAATCTGTGCCAAGAAGTGTGTAAGTCATAAGTTAAATGTAGGAAGAATTGGATATCATAAGGCTGATGAGAGTGAATAGAGGAGGGGAGGTGGACTTTCTGATGGAGGTTAAGATTGCGCGATGAATACAAATGTGAGAATACCAAGCGTGAGAGTACAAGACAAGTGCGAAGTGACGGGCGGTACTCCATCGTGCCACCAACCGTCCAGCTTCGCCGGGCTGTTTTAGCGCTCTTCTTTAAAAGCCAGTGCGAGTGCTTTGGTCAGATACTGAATATTAAGAGCCGGTAGTCGTTCTTGTGTTTTACGGCACTCGCCCAACCAACGCTCTATGAACCTCCCTTGTCATCAAGTCGGAATCTCGCTGCTGGTCCCAACTCTCAGCCAAGCAACCTGCTGAACAAAGTTTCAAGTCGGTGGAAGAACGCAAACTTAGCTTCAGACTGAGGGCATACCAATCGAAACCCCAAAGCTTGACTAGTTCTAGTTGTCTATTAGTCGAAGACGACCAACAACGCCAATGGCTAGCTTACACCACATCCTGAACCAAACACAGCCAGTAAACTTCTCTGAAAAACCACGAACCTTGTTCAAAATGCCCTTCTCAGGCCCAAGAAAATACTGCTCCAATATTTTATGAGGTTGACAGCACATAAACCTGCCTTCTCCCACCTCCCACAACCTTCGCCCACCCTACTCAATCAAGAACCAACACGACCAACAGCATACAACACAGCCCAACGTCATCTTTGCTCCCTTCCCAAAGGTCAAGCACAACCTCATCTGCCATTTGCCGAGCTTCCAGCTCTGAACTTGTCAGCTTGAATAAATATTCACCCGCGGAGAAGCCCACTCTTCTTCAACGCCCGCTACATCCCTCGATGCTCAGGCGCATTAAACGGAGCGTGTTCATTTGCCGCAGACGTTCCAAGCACCCCAGTGTCCCGCGATCCATGATCAACTGGACTGCCTCTCGAGCCAGAAGAATCCTCAGAATGCAGCAAAAGGAGAAAGAGCAGGACTGTGACACCGCCGCTGCTGCTGCTGCGGCGTCCGCGTCCAGCAGCGGCGAGGCGTCCGCGTCGTCCTCCACCTCAACGTCTGCCTCAACCCCAAGCTCATCCTCATCCTCATCATCGACCTCCTCTCCCTCGGACACGGAGAACCCTCCCTCTCTGCCCCGCATTCCCTTTCTCCAGCTCTCCATCGAGCCCACCCGCATCACCCCTCGCAGCTGCCTCCGCGTCCGCACCCTCCGCAAAACCCCTCCCCCTCCCCCGCGCTCCTCCCCACGCGTGACCAAGCACGCCCACTTCCCCAGCGACGAGTCCACCGGCATCTGCCTCCAAACCGGCGCCCGCCTGCCCTTCCGCCCACGCACCGACGCCCTCCAGGACGCCTTCGCCGACCGCAGCCGCGTCCTCCGCATCATCCGCCACGAGCGCCTCCAAGCGCGCGCCTCTTCCTCCTCCTCCTCCTCCTCCACCACCACCGACGAGGACGATGACCAACCGTGGGGCCGCGCGCCCGACCGGGACCCCGAGGAGGAGGACCTCGACCCGCGCGTCCCCGCGGAGCTCGACCTGCTCGGCTGCTGCAAGCAGGCGGACGTCTACTGCCGTGTGCTCACCCGCCGGGCGATCGCGGGGGGCGCGCTCGATTTTGCGCTGTACGTGACGCGCGCGGCGGCGTCGCTGCGCGCGCTGGAGGAGACGGCGCGGGCGCACGCGGACTGTGCCAGGGTGGGCAGCTACGAGGGGGAGGAGCGCAGGCACGCGCACGCCGGGCCGCACGCGAAGACGACGCTGCCGGAGAGCATGTACGCCGACTTTGCGGGCGCCATGTCGGGGCAGAGGGCGCGCCCGGCGCCGGCGGTGGCGGCGCCGCGGCTGCCGGCGGTGGTGGTCACGTCGGCGGAGGGCGAGGTCCGGGAGGTGTCTGCTGGTTCTTCCCCCAAGTCTGAGTGAGACAGCATCATTTTTCAAAGACCTACATAAGTCACTCTGGGTATGGGGACTAGGGGGCGCATAAAGTGAATGCCCACCAACCGGGGAAAAAAAGAAAAGAAACCGAAGTTTACGAAACGAACGAATTTTAGCATGGAGTTTATTAACTGGAGGATTATTCCCCCCTTGTTCCCAAAGAGAACCAAAATTACAAAAGTGTCACGATACAGGTCATATGCTTTTGAAGGTAGGTGCTCGCTTCTATAGGTCTTAAGCTTTTGTGTAGACTGACACACAACCAGAAAACTTACCCGAAATCACAAAATTTAAAAGGGAAAGGGAAAAAAAACTAAAAGTATTAGGAGAGAAGAAAGAGCTGCCTAGTTCCTGTGGCGTTAGGAGAAAAGCTTGTTTGGAGGAAGACATTCGGGCTACTTGGGCTCTGGATTAACTTGTCACGAATTGTTTATTTTCATTCATGTATTTCACAACTTCAATAGCAATTTACTGTTTTACAAAACAGGACCTTACTGCCTGACAGTGAGTAAAAGAAGTCTTTTGAACAGAATCTTGTTGCTCTCTTTGGCCTCAGTACACTACGCTGACAAGATAGCTACGCCAGGCAGCCAGTTGCCATCCCCAATGCCTAGCGGGGAGCTTCACAGCTGAAAAGAACACTTAGTCAAGTATATGCCGTGGAAAGCAGACGTAGAATATTTTCCACAATTCAATTTAAAAATGGATAAAGATAATGGCCTGTTCTAGCAGCAAAGTGACCACCGGCGCTGTTTAATGTGCCGTAAGCCAGAAAACGCTACGTAGAGAGATGATACGTTGCTCTGAGCAGTATTTGGCACTATATTTCAAGGAACCACGGTATTGCAGTGTACTGAAAGGACTGGAACTAGTCCTCAATGGCTGTGTTGTCCCGCAGTAGGGCTCGTCACGTCGAGCAGCAGGTAACCCGATGGTCAACAACCTTACCAAATATCATCATGTGGGGGCACGCGTGAGTATCGATGTCGGCTCCGAAAGTACTGCAGTCGCTAGGTGGCGGAGCTGACGCCAGCGGAAGTGGTCCCTGCTTTGTCCACGGGCCGGCCGGGGCGCTTCGACTGCAAAGCAAAGACACACTTACACACAAACGCTAGTTGGTGATACGTGAAGATGCACAAAACAAGTCCGTTCATCATTCTTTGATATTCCCTTCCTTTACCGGCCAGAGACCAACCCAGGATAGAAGCAAAAAAAGGAAAGGGGGAAGGGGACAACCTACCATGAATCTTCACCCTCTTCTGTTTCTACAAAGGGGCAGTGTAATGTATCGTGTGACACGTGGCAGCGAGAGCAGATGGCTACCAAGCACTTGGGGCAGTTGAACTCAAACTCGGTCGCGGGCTTGGCCCCTTCGGCCAGCGGCTTAACGCGGTAAACTTGCTCGCAGGTGCTCCCGGGACAGTGGCGGTAGCAATCTGAGTTGGAGCTGAGATACGTCGTAAACATGCGCTCAAAGATGCGCTCCAACGCCGACGACGATACATTTTCCTGAATGGCGGCAAGGGTTAGTAGCTCCTTGCACTTGCCGCCATTACCGTAGCAGCGGACAGCTGGTGTACGCGCGGGCGTGCCTGCGCACGAGAGGCACATGGCTTCAAAGCAGGTGACACAGTAGAGATGCCGGCATCGCGTGTAGACGGAGTCCTCGGCCATGTGCCCGCAGAGCGTGCAAATTTCCGGGTCGACGCCCACCCCTGGATGTTGCTGTTGCTGCTGCTGCTTGGAGCGGGTGCTCCAAAGCATCTGCGCGACCTGGAGGTCTACATCGCTGCCGCTGACGATCAGGCGCCGCGGCTGCGAAGCAACATCTAGTGCAACCTTGTCCTCGCCGACTACATTGCGAATGTGCTGGTAGCCACCTCCTAGGAGCCAAGGGACCGCATCAGCATCTGCTGGATCCATACCGATGGAAAATTCGAGGCGCGGATCCTGACTGCACACCTTGGCAATATCAGCCCGTGCGGTACCGAACATTTCACGGGGACCGAGCATGCGCAGAGTGCGCTGCTGTTTGTCGATCAGGATCAGGATCCCATGTTTCTTCTCCAGGCTGCGCAGTTCGTTATACGCCCAGGCATTGGTGGCGATGGACGCTGCCCACAGAGCCCCGCCGTCCTCGGTGAGCAACTCGCCCGCGACGATGCTTGCAAATTCCGCGTGGGCGCTCACTACCTTGTCGTGGAGCTGGCCTTCAAACTTGACTCTGCAAAAGTTGCTGCCCTTGCGCGGGGGCGAGATGGTAGTATAAACAAAATCCTTTTTCCAAGAACCATAGAGGGCTTCTATGTCCTGCGATGCTGCCTCGTAGACCCGCTCCGAGATCTGGGTGCGAATGGTTGAGACCTGTTGCACAGTAAGCTTGCCCTGAGGGAAAAAGGGGAGAGGTGTATTATCGAGCTTCTTGACGGCTTCTGTGGCATGATCCACGTCCACAAACCGAACAGTCAGCTTGGATCGGCGACTAAAGGTATCGCTTGCGGTGGTGACAGTAGGATCCAGCGGCCCGATCAGTGACAGCTTCTTGACAATCTGGTCCACTGACGCTTCCAAAGGACTGTTGTAAGACAGCGAGCTCAAATTGATATCGTGTTCATTTGCAGGTCGGCACCTCACGTCGATTTCTTCTGAAATGTCCCTTCGGCTGGCGGATGCAGGCACATTGTCAATTTTCAGTTCCCACATGGAATCGGCCAGCCCATCACTGGGCTGCGAGAAGGGTTTGGGGCGGGTTGGTCGGACCCGGCTTTGAAAAATCCGATAGTCTCCGCGCGCAAAGCCATTGTAGACTTTCCATGCCGTATCTTCAGAGGCATAGTTGATCGTGATGCTGCGAATTGGCTTGTGCCACGAGCAACTAACCTTGTTTCTGGTGATAGCATCAAACCGTGCCGCCCTATTATGGTACGGGACCACGCGCTCTGCGTTCAATTCGCACGTCTCGTCTTCTGCCATGATATCAACAACCTGCTGAGCAAAAGCCGGGTCATCCATGGTAATATCTGCCACGTCGCCTTGGCTGCCGCTGGGCAAGGGGTTGATATTCGCCTCCAGAACTTGAAAACCGAGCTGGTGAAATATTCCTGCAATATTAGATCCAAGGGAACCTTTTGGCAAGCGGGAGAGTCGGACAGCTGAGGAATCCCAGGGCATGGCAACGTATGCAACGGTAGCTCCGGGACCGAAGTTGACGAAGACGCCTCGGAGGTGGCGAACCCATGCTTCTTCGGGGATACCAGTCTTTTTAGGGGTTAGCAGAGCCGTAATCGGTAGTGTTACAATGCCAGTTGCGCAATAGCTAAATACCTCTTCTTGGACAGCGGGTTTCTCGGTGGCTTCGGCGTGCCACTGAGCTGGGTACGAGTTGTTTCTCGACCAATTGGCTGGGCCAGCTTGTGAATAATCGCCAGGCCAAAAGAAGTTGGGCAAAATTGGGCGAGCACGTATGGACATCATGGCAAAGCCGACCCGCCCAAGGCCCTCTGTCAGTTGGGCATGAAGGAAGTTGCAGCTAGTCCCCCGGGTGCAGTTGCCCTGCCCTCGTTTGTAGTAGACGCACTCGATGGTATTGGGAAAGAATTGCGGATCCATTTTCAGTGAGGGTATCTGTGATGGATTTCGTATGTCGTCGTCTCCGAGTCTATCGGGGTGCTGGGAAGGAACATTGTATTATATAGCACGTCGAGGAGTTTCGGGAGGACAAGAGTGTGGACAGAACCAGCCTCATTCTGGCCGGGCAGGACAGGTGGGCGGCGACTCACTCGGTTTTGTGTGCGAGTATGGTCAGGATGAGAAAGAAAAAAAAATGAATGTGCGGCCCGAAGAAAGGGAGGCAGAAGCGCATTCGGTGAGGCCATGTGAAACGTCGAAAAGCTTGGGTTGGTGCAACGCGAGGCAAGGGTCGGTCGGTGCGGCAGATGTGCTGCATGGCAGTATATCACGATCCCACTGGGGCGGTTAGCTGGTGGGACGCTGCGTAGCACAGCACGGTATTGTGATGATCGTGGGCGGTGAGATGGCGTGGGAATGAAGATAGTGAGGCAGACGGGTCGCACTGTGATGCGGGTGCGGACGAAAGCAGTGTAGCGAAACGGTGCGCACGCTGTACGGGGGCGGCGATATTGGAGGAGTCTCAGAGAAGTGGAATGATGTGCAAGGTCGGCGGCCATTGTGTATTGTTTATTGTGCGTTGTGTTTTGTGTACTGTGAGGATTCTGAGGATTGTGCCACGTTCAGTGTGGAGGTGCAGCTTGGCGGGCAGTAATAAGAGGCCCGTGAGATGTGAGATGTGCGCGTGGGGCTGTTGGCCACGACAGAAACGAGGCGGCAGTGGTTACAAAACGGTGATTCACATGCTGCTGCTGCCTTGTTGGTTTCCGAAACAGAAAAATTGAGCATGGGAGAAAAAAGAGAAAAAAAATCAGGGTCGTTGGGCCAATATCAGCAGGTAGTCGGCCGTGATATTTAATTCCGAGGCAGCACAGCCCGATCGTCCATCTGCCGCCTCCATAAAATGCAGATATAATTAACCTATGCAAGAAAACAAAACAAAAATGTATTCTAGAAGCAACTCCTCGTGCTACATTGAATTTGCCCCATCACGGTACGAGATCGCTTTCACTTCAATTCCGCATCGCGGTGCAGCATGATGGTACAGAACGACATACTCCGCGGCCTTGGAGCCAATTTCCGCGGCCTTGGTGGGTTTGCTGGCTCGGCGCGTCCGATTCCAGGGCATTATACGGGAATTGCAAGCCTTTCAGAGGCAAGGTCCGCTGCAATAGAGTCAATTTGTGACCACACGGCGAATGCGTTTGAAGAGCGAACTGGCTTGAGAATAATGAATTCTAGATTGAAAAAAATAATAATTGCATCTCATAATTAGACGGTAGACAAGCATCTTATAATTACCTAAACGATAGAAAATCCCACATCGCTATCCCACCCTTCAATTTGGGCCAGATCGTGCCAAGCGGGCCCCCCGGTTCTTGGCTCCTTCCGGCATCGTCGGAACGACGTCATCATCGCTAACCCTCAGCTCAGAGCAATCACACAATTCCCCTGCTTATCTGTGGCTTGCCAGACTAGCCAGCTGGCCCTGAGTTATCTTTTTTTTTTTTGCGCCTTCCCTGGCCTCCATTGAAATAGTTGACCGCACCCAGCATCTACACTTTTGACCCTCATCGTCCTTCCTCAATTGACGCGTGAATCCGTGCTGTCGGTCTTCTTGTCCCTCTCCGCCGCCCTCCCACATCATATCCCGCCTCCGAGCTTCAATTCATCCTTCCTCGAACCCGCGTCGAAATAACGCATCTCTTCTCGCCATGGCCGCCAAGCTGGACAAGACGCCCGACTTTACCCTCCCCGATTACGTCAAGTTCTTCAGCGCCGGTGCCCTGGCCGCGACACTCACCCATGGCGTGCGTCCCTCCCTCCCTCCTCCTCGCAGTCAATCAACCGATTGGCGCCATCATACACTACCCAGCTGCTAACCCTCCTCCGCGCAGGCCGCCACCCCCATCGACGTCGTCAAGACGCGCATCCAAGTCGACGACGCCCTCAAGGGCTACAACATGATCCGCGCTGGCCGCACCATCGTCGCCAAGGAGGGCGCGTCCGCGCTCCTCACTGGCTTCGGCCCCACCGCCGTCGGCTACCTCGTCCAGGGCGGCGGCAAGTTCGCCGGCTACGAGTTCTTCAAGAAGTCCTTCATCGACCTCGCCGGCGGTCCCGACGCTGCCGTGCCCCGCCGCACCGCCATCTACCTCGGCGCCTCCGCCTCCGCCGAGTTCTTCGCCGACATCCTCCTCTGCCCGCTCGAGGCCACCCGCATCCGCCTCGTCTCCCAGCGCGGCTACGCCTCCGGCCTCACCTCCGGCTTCGCCCGCATGGCCCGCGAGGAGGGTTTCCGCGGCTTCTACTCCGGCTTCGTGCCCCTCCTCTTCAAGCAGGTGCCCTACGCGGTCGGCCAGTTCACGGTCCACGAGGCGGTCAACGAGGTCATCTACCGGGCTATAGGTTCCGAGCGCAAGGCGAAGCTCACGCAGCTGCAGAACACGGGCATCGAGCTGACGTCGGGCATCGCGGCGGGCGTGGCGGCGGCGGTGCTCTCGCACCCGGCGGACACCCTGCTCTCGGCGATCAACAAGGGCGCGGGCGATCCGAAGCAGGGTGCGACGAGCCGCATGTTCCAGCTAGCGCGCGAGTTTGGCCCTGTGCGGCTGCTGACCAGCGGCCTGGCGCCCCGTGTCGTCATGACCTGCGGCCTGGTCTCGGGCCAGTTCGTCATTTACGCCCAGTGCAAGGCGCTCACCGGCGCGCCGCCCGGCATCGAGATCCACAAGGAAGCGTCTCTATAATTTCTCACATACTACAGAGTCTTGTTTTGTCATTTATGCCTGGGCGTTTTATGCGTTGGATGGACTGAGGAGGGAACACGTTACTTTCTTGGGGTAGTGAATCTGGGTTGCTAGTGCATGACAGTCAAGAAGATTTGCATTAGAGCTAAAACGAAATTTTCATTTCATAGACTAAAGCACAATATTTCTTTTGGATCATCGATTGAGTTCTTAAAACGCCGCAATTAGTGATTCTTGTTATCCTTGCGAGTTGACTGCAGCAACCGTAAGGCAACATCGCTGCCTATCTAGGCAACGTCTGAGTCGCGAGGGCTGCCTGCTCAACCAAGATGTTGTAATCAACGAGACGAGAATAAAACATTGTACACTGCTCTGAGAATCTAACGGTTCCTGTAGGCTGTATCTTCCACTCAGTATTTGTTGCTAGCATATTTGTACCAGGCCTTAACTAACCACGGCCTACCCAGGCACTGAGACAACCGCATCTCTCGGCATCAAAGTTCAAAAAAAAAAGTTCTTCCCGATGTTACACAATGGAGAATGAAACGAGACGCCGTAACAGATAATATGGCAAGATGTCCGCCCACAAAGCCTTTGTTCTAGCTCATTTAGTCCGACTGGCTTTGCTGACGATACCTCGCATCGGTTGACAATGCAGCTCTGCTTGCTCCCTATCCAGTGGCCAGCCACAGGGAAACATCTTTCGGAAAGATATTGACAAAGCAACAAAAGAAAATAAACACTAGGTGTACCTAAACCGACAATCGCGAGTATCAGATGCAGTGACGCCGTTCCACCAGCGACACTGTGTTGTTGCCGCAGTCCGACTTTGGCCCAACAGTAGCACCATTGAGCCTCAGTCGTCTCACTTGTACGTTCGAAGATGCAAGTCGTGATTCGGTTAGTTAATTTTGCGTAAAAATGTTGGTACTTCATGGATACGATGTTTTGCAGCATATTCGGTACATGGAAATACCCCGCGCCTCATTTGGGTGGCACACAGGCCTCGCAAACATGTTCCCCAGGATGCACTAATAATAGGGCTTTGAAGGGCGAAGTTACATGCCGGCCTCGGCACCCGATCCGAAAAAAGGATTTGGAGACTAGTCAGTGAAGTTGCCTCCATCATGTCGAAGTGGCGAACGAAAAGCGGCCGGCAATGGCAGCCTGATATTTAGTTGTAGGGTAGGTAGAGTTCACCATGACAAAAAGCAAGAGACACTACATGTTGGTGCGCCACAAAGGAGGAAATTCCTAAAACGAACAAAGAAGAAAGTCGTGAATCTAATGAAAGCTAATTTCATCGGCTCGTTCGCTCCTTAGGCGTTTTGTTGGACTTGATGTACTTGATGTACTTGATGTACTTGATGTACTTTGTCTGGGGCATTCTTCTCCTCGCGTCGATGGAGAGGTCAGGGTAGGATCTACCGAGGAGAGCGGCAATTTATTTCCACGGCCACCACAGAGATTCGTAGCCAGTTAGTTAGAAGCCAGAAATTTCGCTTGTGCCACGCGCGTTCAAATCAGGCAGGCCCCGAAGCTAGCAAAACATCGGCCCGGATGGAAATTGAGCCGCGAACGGCGAACGGCGCTTGTACGTGTTGCGACGGCGGCGCGGTGCTGCTGTCAGGATCTCATTCATGTGACGCCCGTCGTTCAGGGCATAGCTATATGACCATGATCTCGAGCAAGACCTAAAGAGTGCTGGGCCTCCTTCAAAGGCTACCACAAGATTGGTAATCGCTTTGAAGCATTCTCGTAACAGCAACTTGGAAGCGAAGAGCTTCTTCCCTGCTGAGAAGTCATTACGTTCAAAATTATCACCAATGCCCCTTCTTTCATACAACGTTTCTTTTGAAGCCAGGATAATGATACGCGAGGTGGATGTCGCCCCGCCATTCCTAGAGCGCCACGAAAAGCCCATGGCGGCGATGGTGGAAACAGTGCGGTAAAGGCTGACAAGCTTGAACTATTCTGTTGGCCTGGCTGGCCTTGTTCAAGGAGCGCCTCAAACGCCTCGTGACTGGCGATCTTGTTCTCGCTTTGTATTAGCCCAGGCCCGACCATTGGCCAGACTGGGGGCAGCTTCCACACGAGGTTCCATCGGCCGCGCCTGGGGTAAGAAACGTGCTGCTTGGTTACCTGTGGAGCGCAAAGGGTCCCGGGCCAGAAAGAATCTTCTCAGCAAATGTGGGCAAATCGTCGTCGCCAAGAGTCGCAATGCGATGGCCAGCGATGATAGCGTCTGAGTCTTCTATTGCTTCGGAGCTTGCTGCTTCTATTTCCAGTGGCTTGATGGGCGCCAGCCTCCCCGCCGCGAACGAAAAAAAGCACAGAGAAGTCGCCGAGCTTGGCTTCTCTGAGTGGCACTGTTCCAACAAAAAAGCGTTTCGCAACCGATGACCAGCATCTGGCATGTGTTTGATCGGACCTACTGTGGAGTTGTGGCGGGTTGGGATCCGTGAAGCAGCAGCTCTTCGCCCTTGACAGCCTCCCAACGGCTGGCCGGGAGCGGCGTGGCGTGCAAGCTGGTTGCGGTGTGCGTATCGCCAACCTTGACAGCAAAGAGTCAGGCGGGCAGAATTGGAGAGGCACCAAATTGCAGCACTAGCGGGCCCGGACCATTGCTATTATTGGAGCGCTTGATGCTGGCAGTGGCCACTGTGCTTGATCAGCATCCATACATATGTACAGACGTACATCCAAGGTACTTTGGGAAGAAGCCCGGGAGTCGCCGTCTTGGTGTTGCATCAAGGCGACAGCAGAACAACGGCATGGTTCTTTGTGTGTAATCCGGGGTAGCAAAAGTCAACTTCGGCTGCAGTTTGTTCGGAGAGACTTCGGCTGGGTGGCCGTAGCCTTGCCTGAAGCCTCAACGCTGATTGACAAGCGGTGATTTTAGTGCTGTGAGCGCCCCATGGCTGCCCCGTCGCCCATGTTGCATTCTCAAGTAGATAAGTAGGTCCGAACTTCAGTTGCCTTGCTTTGTTGACGGTGAGGGGTCTGTGACTTGCAAGCACACACTTCAGTTGTCGCAGTGGTGACTCGCCGGAGCCGAAGCAAAGCACATAGGGTCGAGCTGCCGACGGGTCTCAACATGAGCACGGGTAATTGGTACGGCACCCGACGTGGTTGGCGTCGTGGCGCAAGCCATGGTGGAGAGATTGCGATGCGGTGGGTTGTTCGTCAGATACATCAGCCAAAACCACCGACAGGCTGGAGAAGACGGGCGCATTCCAAGAGTCGAAGACCAAGCAACGGGAAAAGGAAGAATTATCGGCTGTATGCAATTAGAATCCCATGCCTCTTTGGTTGGTGTGAACCCCCTTTTGTCAGAGCCGCTAGGGAGCCTTCCAGACCACGTTTCTGTGGCAAGTATCCTCCCCCGCAGCGTGGATCAGCAAATGATCCGCGACAAGCTGAGGGCAGGTTAACAAAGGCCGTCTTCATTCCAGTGCCGACCACCACAACACGGGCAACGGAAAGGTAATCATCAGCCGGGGAGCTCGAATGCGGCAGAAAGTCGTCTGAAACCAAGTCTTGGGGAGCGCCTCTGACGTTGGGCCCAAAGGCAGAAATCAAATGCGCCGGCTGGTGTCCTCCATCTCGGCCCTGCCTTGTCGCTGGACGGACGGCCTAATTCTCGGCGCCATGCACTCCACGTCGTGAGCTTTTCGGCTGGCCGATCCTTCTACCCCCTCCTGTTGTGCTGGCCCACGCCCCCCGGCATGGCATGCCCCAAGTGGCCAACACCTGGAACAGCCCCCAAGCCTGACCTGAGAGCTTGGAGATTGTTGTTGTTGTTTTGTGTGGAACTGGAACGGACAGACTTGCAGTTTTTACACAGGTATCCAGAATACGGTTGCGGGTATCGCACAGGGTAGCACTAGGTAAGGGTGTTGTGTTGGAAGAAGGATGGTGGTCGGAAGTCGGTTACGCAGCGTCGTCCGACGTTCAGCTTCACGGGGTGCGTGAATACTTGTTCAAGAATAGGGCTGGTCAGTATGGTTCGTGCTTCAATAGTGCAAATACCGATGCAACGATGCAATCACCCGCCTCCTGTGAGGGAAGATGAAGAACGAAGCCAAAACAAAGACGGCACAGTGTGAGTTGTGGGAGGAGGAAGGATTCGAGAAATTTTGGTGGAGTCATGATAAAAGGGCTGGAAGGAGGGAGCGGGGGTGGGGGGTGCGACCAGGAAGGATACGAATACTGGTACATTTTCTCCCTCAAAACATGATTGAAAAACAAAGTATCAAAAAGCTTTCAGCAGGATTTCTTCTAGTGAGAACTGCATACATACGTTATACTTTGTACTTTCTTCTCTGGCGTAATTACAGCCGTAGCTGGCCTGTCTCTTGCCCACCACCACCTCACTAATACTGCGCCGTCCCACACCATCATGTCGCCTCGACACTCCCAAATACCCCAAATGCAAACCCTCCCCTCCAAAAGTTGGCACAAAAAATAGACTAAATCATCAGTCCGGCCGCTCATGGATCCCCTGCCCGCGCGCATCCTTCTCCAAATTGGAAGCCCTGGCCGCAAGCCACCTTTTGCCATCCTACCTTCCCCATGGGCAGCCACACGGGAAACCCCCCCCCCCCCAGCCTTCCTTTGCCTCTCTGGACCTACTTACCTTAATGCTGACGACCGAAACCTAAGTGCCAACTAATCTTATTACTTTTCTTTATTCCTTCCCATTCCTATAAAGAGCACGGCTTCCCACCCCTCCCTTCAGCCTCGTGCCTCGGATTTCTTTCTTTCTCGCTCATGTTGTTGACTTCCTTGAACGGACTGACGACAACTTCAGTACATTAACCAAGACAAAGTATTTTATCAGATCTCACCTCCAGGAGAGGTCGGTCCATCCCTGACCATGCCCATCGGCAATTTGTACGTCATTGCAGGCGTCTCCGTCGTCGGAGGCGCCTTGTTCGGCTTTGATATCTCGTCCATGTCGGCCCAGCTCGGCGAACAGTCCTACAACTGTTATTTCAACGACGGCCCCAAGGGCCCTCCTTTCACCGAGGAGCCATGCAGCGGTCCCAAGCCGCTCACCCAGGGTGGCATCGTCGCCTCCATGGCCGCCGGCTCCTGGCTCGGCGCTCTGATCTCCGGTATCCTTTCTGATCGCATAGGCCGCAAAAAGTCCATCATGATTGGCGCCGTCATTTGGTAAGTACTGTCTGGCCTCGAACAGTGGTCAACAACTTTGTGGCTAACCCCTCAACCCAGGGTCATCGGTTCCATTCTTTGCGCTGCGGCCCAGAACAAGGCCATGCTCATCATCGGCCGCATCATCAACGGTCTCTCCGTCGGTATCGAATCTGCTCAGGTCCCCGTCTACATTGCCGAGATCTCGCCCCCGTCCAAGCGCGGTCGCTTCATTGGCTTCCAGCAATGGGCCATTACCTGGGGCATCCTCATCATGTACTACATCTCCTACGGCTGTGCTCAGATTGGCAAGAACGAGTGGAACGACCACAGCACGGCCAACTGGCGCGTGCCCTGGGCTCTCCAGATGATCCCAGCCATCTTCCTCTTCTTCATGATGATGCCTCTGCCCGAGTCACCCCGCTGGCTCGCGCGCAAGGACCGCTGGGAGGAGTGCCACAACGTTCTCACCCTCGTCCACGGCCAGGGAGACCCCAACCATCCTTTTGTCTCGTACGAGTTGCAGGATATCAAGGACATGTGCGAGTTTGAGCGCCGTCATGCCGACGTGACCTACCTTGATCTGTTCAAGCCAAGGATGCTGAACAGAACCGTCATTGGTCTCTTCACCCAGATCTGGTCTCAACTTTGCGGCATGAACGTCATGATGTACTACATTACCTACATTTTCGAAATGGCGGGATACAGCGGCAACGCCAACTTGCTCGCGTCCTCTATTCAGTACATCATCAACGTCTTGATGACTGTCCCCGCGCTTCTCTGGGCTGATAGATGGGGCCGTCGCAAGACCATGCTGATCGGTTCTACCCTCATGGGTACCTGGATGTTCATGAACGCTGGCATCCTCGCCACGCACGCTGAAATCATCCCCAAGGAGCAGCGCAAGCAAGATGTCCTGTCCATGACGGTCTCTGGTGCCCCTGCCAAGGCCCTCATTGCCGGAACTTACCTCTTCGTCGCCTCTTTTGCTCCCACTTGGGGCCCGGCGTCCTGGACGTACCCTCCCGAGCTGTTCCCTCTTCGTCTTCGCAGCAAGGGTGTCGCCCTGGCCACGTCCGGTAACTGGGCCTTCAACACTGCGCTGGGTCTCTTCACGCCTCCTGCCTTTGCGAACATTGCCTGGAAGGCCTACATCGTCTTTGCCGTCTTCAATGTCGCCGCATTCGTCCACGTCTTCTTTGGCTTCCCCGAAACGGCCGGAAAGACGCTGGAAGAGACCGAGGCCATGTTCGAGGACCCCAAGGGTATTCCGTACATTGGCACCCCTGCCTGGAAGACTCATCCTGTCACTGGCGCCATGCGCAAGGCTGAGCACGGTGATATCGAGGCTGCGGCCAAGACTGCCGACATTGAGAAGCCTCACACCCCTCCGGTTGAGCAGCACGAGGTCACCACACCGTAAATGTGCCTCATAAAAAGAAGGGGTGGCATCTTGAAAAGAAGCTGCTGGCTAAGCTAATACCTGGCGCTGCTTGTCGGCGGCCACTTACACGGCAGCTTGGAGGTGGACTGACTATATTGACGGATGGTTGGTAATATGAATTATTTTGTAGTGTTTTGTTTACAAGGATACCAATGGACCATGATTTTCACTACCCGTTCTCCATCAACGAAGCGACATTTAACACACTTGGTCACTTATGTATCCGAACCTTGCTGAAGTTACCGTCGGCTGTTGGCGCCCCTCGTATGTATTGCCTCTAAGTCGGGCTTCGACGCCGTGGCGCCAGCCACTTATTGGTCAAGATGTAGCGGCCGGCTTCAGGCGCCACATCGGCTGAATCAACCCGAGCGCGAAGCTGACCTGGTAAGTGGCGCCGACTAAAGATAGATGTCACGGCCAGCACACAATAGGACGCCCCCAGACCAGCCAACCTGCCAACAATAGTGGTCTCGCCCAAAATCACCGTAAAGGGAAATACATACACTGAAAAACTATGATAATGTGTGTAAAAGAATACCCCGGTGCTGAAGCTCTGGTACATGAGGCTGTATATGGTTCCCTCACAAACTAGGGCCTCTCGCTTCAACTATGGTGGAAATAGAGGTACAAGACATGACATTTGATAGGGGCATCTGTAGTATATGAGACATATCTCAGCCGTGTTGATTGATGGGAGAAACTCGGTTATTCGTCGATGCGCATGACTAGCCGCGCATGTTCTGCATGCATGCAAGCCTGACCTGGCCTTCAGCCGACCTGGCCTTTAGTCGACCTCGTCATCGCACGCGGGGTAAATAGCATTGTGCCGTCTCAGATCTTTGTCCCCTTCCAGGAAACATTCATTCGAATATATGGTCTGCTTACAACTATCAATTACCCTGCTCCGAGAGTCCTTCCCGCTATGCCGCCATCCAACGATCACGATCAACCTCGTGCCGTGATGATACCTTCGCTGGTGCTCGCCAAATGTGGCGACGGTTCAAGAAGAACATAGGTGCTGCACATCGTTCGCCTAGCCCCAAAAGTCGCATTATCGAGCGACAATTGACCAATAAAGGTGATGATACCCTGGGCCCAGCCTCCGCTACAGAGGACGCACTCGAGGCACCTGTGGCACCTGAGCCTAAGGCAGCTGATGCACCTGAAGCACTCGAGGAACCTGAAGCAATTGAGGCACTCGAGGTACCTAAAGCACCAGAAGAGCCGGCGCAGAAGTCTTTGTGGGACAAGGCCTACACAAAGCTCAAAGCCAAAAAAGGAAAAACTCGTCACCGAATACGAGTCGCTGCTTCTGCAACAACATTCGCAGCCGACGGAGCAGGACGCCCCCCGCCAGAGGACAAGGCAAGAACAGCTGGATGATACTGTGACTAGAGGACTTGAGCGCATGGATGAAAAGAGAGCAACCTACACCATTTTTGGTGAAAAGTTGGTTGTCAAGAACCAGGCTGCTAAAGTCTCAAAATTTCTACTCCAGCTCAAGTCGTTCGTTTCTGACGCTATCATTTGGAGTGAAGCAAACGGGTGGCAAGTCCCCCAACGGATCGCGACTGCTGATGGAGGGCTCTCTGCGGTTGCATTCTCCTCGGATAGCCATCGCCTAGTTTTCAGCAGTTTTGAAACCGGTCAGTGGCAAATGTGGGAAATTGCCGCCGATGGAAGCTTTACAGTTTTACACGAGTGGCGGGTTCCTCCCTCCGTCAAACCCGTTCGAGGTGACGAGTTTGTCATTCTCACTGAGCGGACGGCACATTCGTCTTTGGCGGCAGAAAACGGGCATTCTTGACGTTTGTGGCATTGCAGCTGGCGTCTCTGAGGAATTGGACCCCGGGCCTGAGTTATGACAGGAGCGTGACCGTCGCTTACCCTGGTACGCCTTTCCACCAGGCCCCCAACCCAATCATCGCGTTCGACATCGGGAAGACGACGTGCTACTGTATGTGAAGACTGTGCATGGCACCAAGAAGCGAGGTCCACACGATCAACAGCTGGTGTACGAGGGTTATGGGGTGAGCAGCGATCACAAGTGGATCATGAAGGGTTCTGACAAAGTTCTCTTCGTTCCGACGGACTATTGCCCCTGGAAGAAGCCGTTGCTGCTGGGATCGATGGCTGTCTTGTTTCACCGCAGCCACGTCTTATTACTCAAGCTAACGTAGAATGCGATGTCTCTTCTGTCTTCTCTGTCTTCTCTGTCTACTATTCTCCATCTATTATATTTTTCCATCTATTATATTTTTCCATCTATTATATCTCAATTCTAATAATACCTACTTCTAGAGTCGTAGTGGCCAGGGCTTGTAAAGGGGACATTTGTATGTACAACGATTATGAGTAGACCCATACATCTCCAACATTACATGGTTATTAACCTGCGCGCATGAATGTAGCAGAGAAACTCATGATTGGATACCCTATGCTCTCTAGTACTCTTCTATGCTCATAATCTACCATCATGTACTCATCCATGTTCGTAATGTTCGTCGCCATGCTCAATCCTCCCGGCAATCCCACTCCACCCATCTCCGGATAACCTCGTCCACCCTTCTCACATCCTCCCTCGTCGCGCCCACCTCGAACCACTCCCTGTGATCCCTCCCGCACGCCTTGCACGTCTCCCTCTCCGCCCGCAGCCCCATCCCCGTGAGCTCAATGTGCACCAGCCTCTCCACGCGCTTCGCGTGCGGCGTCATCGCCCCCGCCGGCAGCGGCGTCGATGAGTCGTCGTCGCTCCCCCGCCCGTGCCGACCCGGCGACGGGGTCGGCGTCGACGAGGACGCGTACGGGTAGTACCGCAGCACCTCGACGTCGTACCCGCACTGCCGCTGCCACTGGTTCATCCGCCGCTGGACGTTGGCGGCGCGGCCAATCTTGAGCAGCATCGTCGTCTTCCGCCTACCGCCGGGTGAGGACTGCGAGGCGTAGCGGGAGACGGCGTCGCTGGCGCGGCGACCGCGCGGGGTGGACGGCGGAGGGGCGAGCAGGGACCGGGCCGCTTCGACGGGAGCGCGCCGGTGCTGGTCGCCATCAGCGGCACCGGCCTCCTGGACTAGCCAGAACATGTAGATGTAGCCCGGCTCGTCGGACTCGGTGATGGGGCGGACCAGCTCGGCCATGAGCAGGGCCGCGGTGGCGGCGTCGAGGGAGTTGGGGATGAGGCGCTTCAGCTGCGCCGTGACCGAAACGTCCGATCTGGAACTCTTGGCAGGTGACGGCAACGGTGGCCGGTACGGCGGCGGTCGACTCGTAGGCGGTCGCTGGGGCTGATGGGTCGGCATCGGCTCCGGCTGGTATGGCTTGTTCGAGGGTCTCGGCTTTGGCTTCTCCTCCGGTTCGTCCTCTACCTGCTGAATTGGAAGGCTGAAGCAGCAGCAAAACGCGAGCTGGCTCGTCTGCTGCTGCTGCTGCTTCTGCTTCTTCTTCTTCTTCTGTTGCTGCTGCGGCCTCGAGTGTCGCACCGGTTTGCTCTCGAAGCCCGCTGGATAAGCCGACACCCCCTCCTCCCGCCCCCCGTGCGGCCTCCTACCCGGCTTGTCGGGCCGTCCCGTGGAACCCACGTCCACGAGGCCGAGCCGGTCCGCCAGCGTGTCCAGGCTCGTGCGCTCCTCGCGGATCGTCGGCGGCTTGGGTCCCGGGCTGGAGCGCGCCGAGTGGCTGCTCGCCTGCTCCTTGTGCTGCCAGCAGTACAGGCTCTCGTCCGCGGGGTCGTCGGGCGCGGCGGTCAGGCGGTGCGTGCTGTCGGGTCGCGCGCCAAGCGGCCGGCGGCAGGGACGACCGGCCGAGGTGATGCCGCGACATGTCGACTTGGGGTTCTTGGAGTCGGAGCGTGCGAGCAGCGACTCGGGCGTGTTGGCGACAAACGGCATGGTTGGGCGCGTGGGCGCGAACGCACACAGCCGCGGGCGCGTGCGTTCGGGTTTGGAGCAAGAGGCCGTCGGGCACCACCAGTGGTGTAGGTTATGTCATTTGAAACAGGTAGTGATTTTGAAGCTTTTGAGGAGAAAAGATTAAAGGAAAGAAGAGAGGTACAAATTTGAGCGTTTCGATGAGGAGAAAGATCTTTGATCCAGACTGTCGCAGGAATGTTGAAGGCTGGTTGCTGGCGGAGGCAGCTTGCGCCACGAGGTTGGTGGCTGTGTAACTGTAACTGTGGCAGAGATCTGGCTGTCAAGCCGAAAGCAAACATCGGACCTTTTTAACGACATTCATCATTCATACGAGCACATTGAAACCCAATCCAGTGGAGTCTTGAAAAAAGCGAGAGTATGTACGGGTAAAATTGTGATGCTTTTGATACGCGATATTGCTGATACACCCTCCACCCCCCTTATTATATCAGGTTGGGGAAGGTTCTGTCAGGATGGTGGTGGCATTGTTATATCTTTGTTTGCCTGGGTCTCAGTTCCAGGCGCGCTTGCGGGCCTGTTCCGGTCGGCAGTCCGCCGCAATGAATAAGATTATTGATTATTTGTTATTGTTGTTTTTTGCCTTGGTCGCAGGTGTCGAAGTCTGCATTCTGCAGGCATGAGGCCTAAGGGCAGATGTATTCCCAGTACTCGCAGTTGTGGGAATGTCAAGCAGAGCTGATTCACCATTGTGCTATTTGGTCATTGTTGTCGCTACCTTATGGTACGGAGGTACCCATAGCTAGGCCTCCGTTGCAGCCATTGCAGGGGCAGGCAGCCACCGCCAGGTTTGGGCGTTTGGACACGCCCATTTCAACTGCGACTTCCAATATGAGAATGGGAAACGCGTCATGTCAAATGAGAGAGGGTACTACTCTTCACAGGCTGCTGGTTTTAATGTCTCAAAGGTTATTAAGATTTATTAGGCAAGCTATTCCGAGGGCTTTTCCTGACATAGCTATGAAATGTTCAAAACAGTCAATTGACGACGCTTAACTCCATGAATGACTCGGAAATTGACCAAAATCCGCCCTTGATATCATTAATCATTTAAAATTACAAATTCTGGCCATTCGGCAGACGACCGCTCGAAGACAAGTTGGAGCGGAGCTCCTCCAAAAGCGGCCACATGGAAGAAGCATCGGCTTCTTCACGGCGCAATAAAAACTTTCTGAACTCATATCCCAGATCTTTAGCGCTAAAAGAATCCGTCCCATCAACATACAAGTCAACAAGGTCATCCAGTAAGACTCGTAGGTGGTGTTGTAATCGCGGCACATGAGGAGAAGCAAACTCTCACAAAACTTTGCAAAGGCTGGAACCCGCACAGTGGAATATTCTGACGACAATCGCCCTTGGCCCCTGCCCGGAGCGGCTGAGGGAAGTGAAGGGTCCGACGCACTTAGGATACTGCCGGCGTTTGCCGACATAGGAGAGTCGAGATCTGTGAGCTCCCAGAGGCTGTCGGATTTTTGGTACAAGGATAGCACAAACACATCACTCATGTGAAAGTGCTCCAAAGGGCGTTGAGCCTGAAAACGACATGAGCAGTCGCAGTTCAGGTTCTTTCGGCAAGGAGTAAACTTGGCCTGGGCAAGGGCAGATGAAGCTGCCGTTATTTGATCATCGGGCACAATAAAGGCCACATCCTGTTATTGGGTCAGCGCTGCGTTGGGTTTCGAAGGAGAGGGTTAAACGAACGTCAATGATGGTTGGCACACCATAAATCGTCAGCAAATAATTGCCCCAAAGAACATTTGGCACACCAGCCGAGTTCAGTATTTGGCATACTCTCGCAACAGGCTTGCCATCCAGCGACGTCTTGCCCACGATGTCATCCATGACTGCAAGGGAGGAAGTATTGGTGAGGTACATGATGAAACTGGGTAGATTAAGTCCGCACTCGGCGAATAAGTACTTGGTACAGGGATATCATGTGAACTTTACAAAACTCTTTGTTTTGGGCGCTTTCGGTATGTGTAACAGATGTTCACTTGCGGAGATGGATTGTTTCTTCATCAAGATGAGGCTCAAGTGGTACAGATCGAATTCTTTATAAAGCTAAGCTACCACCATTCATACAAATAGACCATTGCCCTACACACTATATAGTAAATTTATATAATAGGATTAAGAATTTTTATTATACTATTTTGACATGTGGCTGACGCAGCCACCGGAGGGAGGCCAAGGCTTTTGGGTTCTATCAGGCCATAAAAGTCGTGCTTCGCCTGCGTAGCGAGGGTGAAGGCCGACGAGGCGGGCGTCATGCTGTTCCTGGAAACGATGACCGCGTCGGGAGAGGCGCTGCGGGACGTACCGCTGTTCGCGCTGCCGCTGGTGCGGACGCGCAGGGCGGCGGCGATGAAGGGTGAGGGAGGTCAGCCTCCGGGCCGCCACCACGTCGTGAGGGGGCTCATTGTCGCGGCGGCGGCGGACATGGTGTCGATGAGACGGGCTGGGTTCCTTTTTTTGGCCATGCCGGAGAATCCCGGTCCTGCTTGGGTGCTTGAGAGTCGACGAGTGGTGAAATTTGTGTAGACATGTATGCGCCTATCGTGGTTCGGGCGACGGCGGACAACCCTGTGATCGCATTAGAAAAATCGAGTAGCAAGTACCGTCAAGACTGCAGCTATTTTGATATCAAGTTGCCAGTGTTATCTGGTTATATGATGCAGTAATGAAATGCTTGATGAGTCCACTTTGGCCGCGTCTTCCTGCCGGGAGCATTCCCCCGTCGTCCGGCGTGAAAGCTACATCGTTACAGCGACGCCCTCTCGGTCGTCCAACTATTAAACCCCACGATTCCCTCTGCGAGCACCGCCCGATCGGTCCGGCCGTCGTCATCGTCAGCGTAGACGGACACGCGGCGTCCGATGATGCCGTCGCTGCCGACCTGCAGCGAGAGCGCCTGCGGCAGGGGCCACTCCCAAACACCTCCAGCGCCGGCCGCGATGGCTGGACTCGTCGCCGCCAGCCGTAGTTGGCGGAACAGGCCGCAGTCGCTGGCATCTTTGGTCATGTCGCCTCCCGCACTACATCCAGTTAGCAGCATGTACAGGGTATGAAGTAGGGCAAACGCAACTGGATGACGACGCGGAGATCGGAGGGTAGAGTCGCCGTCTGCCACCGCGGTTGGTCAAAGGCTAGTCGTGCATGGGTCGCCTCGGCGCTGTCGGGATGCCCGGGAGTGTGAAATGTGAGGTCGCCAGTCATCACGGCGGCCACTGTCGTGGTCGTCGGCGACGATGAGCCGATCCCGGGTGGGTTGAGGGCGACCAGGGCGCCGCCGCGGGGGCGATTCGTAGTCTCTGGGCCGCACATGATGTCTTTTTGAAATTGGATTTCCGCTTTCTTTCTTTCTTTCTTTTTTTTTTCAAGAAATTTCGCGTCTTTGTTGAGTCGAGGAAGATGGAGAGTCGCCTTGGCCCCGGCTTATATATAGCCACCGCTCACCAACCACCAACCACACAGGCGCCAAAACTTGCTCGTGTACCGCCTCACTGAACGACGATGAAACAAACATGAGAAACCTTCTCAGTTATAATAAGACAAAAAAAGGAAAAAGGGAGAACACACAGCTTGTGCATCATATAAAACAGCCCAATGTTGCTGCAACCAGCTCAAAGCTGAAGGCGGCCCGGCCCCACTGGTGAACCTCTATGAGCAAGTTTGAGAGCGAATGCTCCGATTCAAACTCATGCCTGCCGGACCTGACTTGTTTTGCGATACCTTGAGGGCCATCTCTCATGTCTTTGTGAGATCTATCCAATGACAGGCCCCGAGGCTCACGTCATACCCCCGATTGGCTGGAGGATGTCTGCCTTGCAGCAATCTTGCTTTGTCAGGGTATGTGTAAGTGACGAGGGAGGGCGATGGCGTGCAGCTGCGTCGTTTCCCCGCCGCCGCCCAATGGAGGGGTAAGGCTTTTATTTGTGTCTCATAGACTTGGTCTGTTCTTCTTCTTCTATCCTTCACCTCTTCAAGATAGTCTCGAACCTCCTCCCATCAGCTCACCATGGCCAGCGCCTACTCCCTCCCTCCTCTTCCCTACGCCTATGATGTACGTGCCCTGCCCTGTCCTTGGAACCAAGTCTTTCTCTCTAACCTCGGCTCCTACAGGCCCTTGAGCCCAGCATCTCCAAACAAATCATGGAGCTGCACCACGGCCGGCACCACCAGGCCTACGTGACCAACCTCAACGCCGCGCTGCAGTCCGCCGCCGCCGCCTCCGCCGACGTCGCCGCCCAGATCGCCCTGCAGCAGGCCATCCGCTTCAACGGCGGCGGCCACATCAACCATTCTCTCTTCTGGGAGAACCTAACCCCGGCCAGCAGCCCCGACGCCGACCTCACCGCTGCCGCCCCGCGCCTGGCCGCCGCCCTCGCGGCCACCTGGGGCTCCGTCGAGGCCTTCCAAAAGGCTTTCGCCGCGGCGCTGCTCGGCTTGCAGGGCAGCGGCTGGGGGTGGCTCGTCAAGGACACGGCGCACGGGGGCGCGCTGAGGATCGTCACGACAAAGGACCAGGATCCGGTGGTCGGCGCGGAGACGCCGGTGTTTGGCGTGGATATGTGGGAGCACGCCTACTACTTGCAGGTATGAGATTTCGCGGGGTTGACTGCTTTGGGAAGATTGGTAGAGGCTAATGGAGAAACAGTACCTCAACGGCAAGGCCGCGTACATTGAAAACATTTGGAAGGTCATCAACTGGAAGACGGCCGAGCGCCGCTTCGTCGGCGGCCGCGATGACGTCTTCAAGGCTCTCAGGGCGTCCATCTAGGTTCTTCCCGATACTCCAACGCATCTCACGAGTCAGAAGCAAAGAAAAATGATAGCTCATCATTCAAATTGAAACTACCAATTTCCAAGATTGCTTCACACTTCCCGTTTGCTACTTCAGCCTCACCCGTCGCTTACTTACTTAAATACATACCTACCTACCTCGTATGCATCGCCCCTTGGAAACCCCCCCAAATCAGTTCCATATCGGGATCATGCTGGATCGCGCACCCGTTCACATCGCCGGCGGACCGACCGCTGTGGCTGAGCTTCTGTCTGTCGCACCAGCCTCGGCCGCCTGCATCGTGAATATTTTCTTTCTTCTTCCAAGGGGGGGCAAGCCGTTGATTGACGCCACCATGTTTCGCGCGGGGCAGTGCATTATCGAGGCCGATGCTTTTGCCTCTTCCCATCTCGTAGCTGAAAATAAACGTGCCACGGGTAGGACAAGACATGACGTCCTCGACGGAAGCGTTAGCGAAAGTGTCACAGCAGGCGAGAGACATCAGCCATGACTTTTACCGTTACCCATCGACATCTGTATGCACATGTCTGTCTATATATAGTAGTAGACTTGGACACGTTCTTTCATGGCTCTCAACAAGGAAGCTACCTTTTTCACCTACACACTCGTTTTAACAAGTGCATTCCCTCGCTTTTCCAAGATGAAGATTACCTCTATCCTCGCCGTCCTCGGCAGCAGGTCTGTTCCTCCTTCTCCCAACTCCCAGCTATCTATCCCAGCTAACACCGACACCCCCAGCCTGGCCACTGCTCTCATAACCAACAACAACACCTTCACCATCACCGTCACCGAGACGGCCATCGCTTGTGGCGGCAACTGCTTCACCACTTACTACGGTGCCTGCACCACAACCGTAACCACCACGGCCACCCTCGGTAGTCCCTCATCCCCCACGTACACCGACTCATCCTCGGTCAACCCCGGCACTACGGGCTCCTCCTCCGTGTCCATCACCAGCTCCGCCAGCACCTCATACTGCAGCGAGCCCCGCGGGTGCGGCGGCGTCAAGCAACCCTCCCCCTCTTTCTCCTACCGCACGAGCACCCCCAAAGACCCTGCCACATCCACCGCATACACCACATCTTCCAGCGTCCGGAGAACCTGCACGCACCGCGTCCCCAGCGGGCCGTCCTCCGGAACGCCCAGCTACCCGGCTTCCAACTCGACCACTACCGGCTCGGGCACCGGAGTTCCTACAGCAACCGGCGGGCGCACCCGTTCCGGCACCCGCTCCGGCACCCGCACCTCAGCAAGCTCCGACGATGACGACAACTATCCTCCTTCGCTGCCAACCTACACCCACAGCCACTCCTACAGCTCTCGAGGCAAGACGAGGACCGATGTGCCGACGTCCACCATACCGTCCCCCTCGTACACCTCCAGCGTGGACCCGGCCAGCGGCACAAGCTCCTCCTCCTCCTGGTCCTCTTCTTCTGACTCTGCTTCTTCTTCTTCTCTTACCTCGTCTTCTGATTCTGCTTCTTCCTCTCCTGCCTCTTCACCCTCTTCCACCTCCACCCCAACGACGCTGGTCACCAGCAGCCGCGAGCCAGCATCCTCGACCTCCACCAGCATCATCAGCATCGACGACCCAACTCCCACGCCACCAGCCTACGAGGACGGGCCGTCTCCGTACAATTAGGAGAGCACTCTTCTTTTACATGATTGCACAAAACATACAGTTGCAAACGAGTAGCTAGCCGTGTCGATACGTAGATTCTTCTATAGTCTATCATCTAGCGTGAAAATAAAAAGGTCTGGTATTCTACCAGTCGTTATTGTGTATATGTTCTTGTCTCTCCGTCATCTATCCCACTCTTCCTTTTTTCATTTCATCCCAAAGACAGCTGTTTAGTGACCCTTGGAAAAGGATACGACAGCCCACTTGCCGTGCCAGCCCCATTTGCGGGCACCGGTATCGCCGCCGCCGTTGGGCGTGGCCTTCAGCTCCTCGTCCTTGCCGGCGGGCAGGCCGACGACGACATCGGCCTTGACAGTGCGGAGGGACATGACGTTGGCGCCCGAAGCCGGGCCCATGGGGCCGAGGGCCTCGGTGTATGGCGTGGTAGGGTCCCACCAAGCCTGCAGCGGGTCAGCAGGTGAAGCATTTCTTCCATTATACATTCTGTACTTACATCGCCAGTCAGCTTGCGGTAGTTGAGATCGCCCTTGAAGATGACCAGCTCGGCCTGCTTGAGGTCCTCGAGCAGATCCGGTCTCTGGTGCGGCAGGCGCCAGAAACTACCGCCAGCCGTCCAGTAGCGGTCGGGGCGCATGACGAGCTGGCCCTCGGCATGGGCCTCGGTCCAGTGCTTGAAGACAAAGGCAAGGTCCTCGACCTCCTTGTCAGACAGTGGCGCGGGCGTTTTGCCCTGAACCTTGTCATCCTCCGACGGTGTCTCGAAGAAGGCACGCGGGTCCTGGATAGCGTTGAGGAGACCGCTGAAGTCCGCCGGCAGCACGTCCGAGACGAACCAGGGGATGGACTTGGGACGCAGCACAATCTGCGTAGCCAGGCCGGACGCGAGCAGGAAGCCGCCAAGGACGAGGTCGACCCAGAGCTCGAAGCCGGCGTTGTCGAGGACAAAGTCGACGCGGCGCTCCTCCTTGCCGTCAGCACGGGCCTGGCGGAGCGAGTCGTAGACCTGCGGCAGGTCGTTGGCGATGATGTTCTTCTCCGCAGCCTTACGAGCGGCGCTGCCCTGCATCTTCTGGATGTCCTCGTATGTCATGTTGGTGAGAAGAGAGAGGTCGGTGGCGTTGCCCCAGAGGCAGACCTCGAACATTTCGGTGAAGAGCGCCTTCTCGACGTCGGCGTTGTGGGTGGCTTCCTTGTCCTTTTGCAGCTCGGTGACGAACTCCTTGTAGCGGGCGGCGAGCTCGAGGACGGCGTTGCGCGAGGTGCGGAAGGTGTCCATCTTTTGGCGGTAAAAGAGGTCATAGTCCTTCCAGTGCTTGGTGGTAGAGAAGAATGTGCTTATGCGGCTGAGGATGTGTGAGTAAGTCGTTCGCTAAGGGTAATTGTCAAGAAAATTTCCAGGACAAGCCATACCGGTACATGTAGCATTCGGAAAACAGCCAGGGGACGTCGTGCCAGCTGGGCGGGTTGCCGAGAGCGGCCACCTCTTTGTTGTACTCGGCGACCTCGTCGGTGAAGCCATCGTCAACGATGGGGGTGAGGGGTCGGTTGTGCTCAACCTCATATTTGAGAGCGCCAAGCTGTTCGACAATGCGCTTGCCTTCTGCCTGCTTCTCGGCGTCTTCGGTCTGGGAAATGGTCTTGTAGATGTCGTCGACAGTACCGGTCTAGACGGGGACGTGTTAGTCTAAGCGGGATGGTGTTGTGGATGCCAATGAAAATTGGCCGACATACCAGAATGACAGGCCACCTCTTGCGAACAGATTCGCTGGCAAAGGAGAGGGGGTCGCTGGTGACGGATTTGCCTGGTGCGAGTTAGCCGGGGTCGGTTCTTGAATGGTCGGAGGCCAGTTGGGTCGGCAGCAGCGTACGGGTCTTGGTGTCGAACTCCATGATGCAAATCGGGATATGAGACGAAAGATAGAATAGAAAGAAGAAGGGGGAGATTTCACAAAGAGCACAAAGACGGAGATGCGCGTTTAAAAGGACACCTGCCGACGAGGTTTATGTTTGAGCACGGAGGGGCAATTGGCTGAGATGTGTTTGGGCCAGACACAGCCTGTTGGACAAAAAGTATGGCGTCGATGGAGGGGCATATCCGGCCCAGTCTGGCTTAGCGCAACCGGCAATGAGGCCTTTGGGCTCGGTTCTGATCCACTAAATCCGGCGCTACAGTGATGACTTCTCTATAAATACAGCGGTCTTTACTGGTCCTCGGCCCAGCCGCCTGTCCCCTGACGGGGCCGTCCAACGTTGAATGTCGACTGTCCTACAGAAGACTTCAGTGGACATCACCGCCATCCCGAGTTGTCACCAAAGAAGAGGTAATTTAACCAGCTCGGCTCGGGATGTCCGTCATAACACCCGTATTCTAACCAACATCTCTCATCTAGATTAGAAAAAAAAAAACCGCAAAAGTTTCTAATTAATATGGAGACTTTTGGCGCACTACCTCGTTCGTCACAATCTCTTCAACCAACGCGATGTCCACGCTGGCAAATGCAACTTCATCGTCGCAGCCGGACCCAACAAAGATGCACTCAACCCACCCGTCGACGTCATAAACACCGGGGCAAATAGCACAGTTATCTTCCATCTGAATCGCCAAGTAGCAGCAAGTTGAGTCCATGTACATCGGTACGTTACTACTGTACGTGCAGATTTTTATTCTTCTCTTATTTAGTTTCTATTCTAGATTATTTGCTTTTCATTACCACTACGTAGAAGTGTCGGCATGCCCACACAGCCTTACCGGCAGGCTATTATATCCATACATCGCATATATCGAAAGTCACATTTAAACGAATCATATTCAGGAGGCCAGGGAGAAAATACTATCATGTATCAACATGGTTAACCAAGTAAATACCGAGTAAATAAGCACATACATAAGCCGTTCAGTTCGTAAAATAAATGGCTGCGCCATCAATATGTCCACCACAAATATACCCTTGCACTACCCGTACATCCCTCCCTACTCCCCTCAACTCGCCAAATTACACATTGCCATCGCTCGATAGTGTTTTTCTTTTCTCTGCCTCGCAGCTTTTTTTTCGACATCATGACAACAAATAAAACACCGTTTCTGCTTCAACAACAATGACGCTCGGCAGCCATCTCTAGTTCAAAAGGTGTCGGTGTCCTGGCTCGCCATTGTCCCAAATGTATCTATGCCATGTTAGCATGTTCTTTTTCCCATAGAATACCAACGGCTTACCTCTTTTGCGTCTCCTCTCTTCTCTAGCTGCCTCTTCTTCTGGGCTTTTGGGCGTCATCGCCCGTGGACCGCTAGGCCGGCGAGCAGGAATTCCCAACACTGCGTTGAGGTTGCGGTTCTCAGGCTTCGGACTGCCATCTGCAGTCACTTGACTCGCATACGTGCCTGTGGCACTTCCATACCCGCTCTCGTAACTCATGTGCGCCACGGGGCTACTCTTCTGGAGTGATGCCACCCGATTGCCCTTGACCGGTGTGTGCAGTGAGGGGTCAAGCGGTTCTTTGGGTGGTCGTGGCGGCGCTGACGACTGCTGCTGCTGCTGCTGCTTCGGAGACGATAGTGCATAATCAGCATCTCTCGTCGCACCAGACGACACACTGTATCGGTTTGCTGGCAGGCGGCTGAGACTCGTCGCCGAGCCTGCCCAGTCAGTCGATCGCGGCGTCAGGGGATTATCGTACTCGCGAGCAGAGTACTCAAGCGCCGCTTGATGCCGCTCTGTCTGCCCTTGTCTCGGTTGCGGATGCTGCAGATTGACTGAGTTGCGGTGAGCCTTGTACTTAGGGTCCTCAGACAGGGCAAAAGGCGGCACTGTTGGTTGCGGTTGTGAAGGGCCAGCTCCCCCTTGGCTGAGGTTCGGGTCTGAGAATCCCGTGTGTAACTTGTCCTCTCCATACGGATCATGGTCAACATACGCATCATCATATGAAGCTAGGCTGGACCCCGATCGAGATGGAGGTTGAAATTCATCATACTTGGCCGCCTTCTTCGAAGAACCACTGCCACGAAACGCCCGTCCAACACTTGACGCAGTGGTCTCTGACCAGCGCGAGATCTTGGGGATCCACCCCGATGAGCTGGTGGACTTGTGCTTCTTTCCCTTTTCGCTACGTGGTGTGTTGTCGGCACTGAGAGCCGTGTGCTGAGGTCCAGATGATGTCTCTGGTGATGTCTCCGGTGGAACAGATCCTCCGCGCTGAAGGTTATTCGCATGGCCTGGTGAGAGCATAGCCGCGTTGGGTTTCACAGTGGCAGCACTTGGTAGGTCGTACTGGTATTCCTCCTCGTTCTCCTGCACAGTGCTTATTCTGTGGTCAGAGTATTTGTGTTCTCCTCCGGTTGGTGCGCGTGCTACGCTGGCATGGCTAGCTGTGGAAGTGCCTTCGGGCTCGTATCCCTTGTCCTGTTCGTAGTGGCCCTCTGGCTGAAGGTTCTCAAGAGACTGTCCCTGGCCACCGCTAGAAATGGGAGGAGCAGTCTGCGACTTGAGCACATCTACCTCGCCAAGGAGTTGCACAAGCATATCCTCAATGCGACTGAGATCATTGGTGCCTTTTGCACTGAGTCCTTGAAGGGCTCGCTTCCACAAATTTTTCTTCTTGGTTGCTTCGTCGAGAGTACCAGCCTGAGAAGCGCTTTGTAGCGAGCGAGTGGCAGTGCCTGGAAAGGGGCGAGGGCCGTTAATGGCTTTTTGAAGCTTTTCGGTGTTATCAACATTGGAAAAGATGACATCGTCACCGGTATCTTGGACAAGCTCTTTCATCTCACGGAACGAGTTGCGCATCTCCACGGCAGCATTCATCAGGAGAGCTACAATCTCCGTGTCCCTCGCGCTTCTCTGTGCGTCGCGGACCATCAAATGCTGCATTAGGGCAACAATATCCTTGTTTTCGATTCTCTCAATGCCAGCTCCGGTAGCGGCGTCATAGAACGGCGATTGCATGCCTTGTGAGAAGCCGCTCATGTGTCGCGGGTTTGCCTTATCCGATACGTAGAATGGGTCATCATCGAGGTTGTCAGCAATAGCAACATCGCGAGACTTGCCAGCGATGTCAGGCGTTCGGTTCGGGCCGTTTGACATGTAGCCCTCGTCATACTTTTGGCCAAGGCCGGGGCTTGCAGTGCCATATGGTGTGGCGTAGTTTCCGTCAACTCCCCCACGCTCCAGCATGTTGTGATCCAGGGTAGGATTAGCAATAGGGCTGGCATCCTCATAGGGGTTCGTAATGAGAGTGTCGCGCTTGCGCTCTGCGGATGTTCGCCCCCAGTCCTCCTCGGGTTCTTGATCGCGGTTGTGCGCCGCAAGCGCTGCTGCCCCAAGTGCTGCTGCTGCCCCAGCTGCCATACCCAAGGCTGCTTTGCTTGATTCGCCATTGACCGGTTCATAGCCGCCGGCAGTTCTAGGAGTGGGTGTTGATTTGCCAGAAATTGTATCCCAGTTAGGCAGATCACGGTCCAAAGGTTCATTGGCAAGGGAAGGGTTCGTGATGAGGTCGTCATCCATGTGGTACCCAATCTCAGGCATGGGGTTGCCCATGTCAGGCATGCCACTAGCTGTCATACGCGGTGCCTCCTCGTCCTCATAATCAAAGTTGTCAAGGCTATGAGTAGGAGTTTCTCGAGGCTTCCATCCCATGGCGCGCTCCTTGAACGATCTGTTTCTGTTGACGCCGGCGGGCTGAAAATTTTCGTCTTCATACGTCTCGATGTCAGCCTGTTTTCTCTCTTGAGCGGCTTTGAGAGCGGCGGCGGCGGCCCCAACGGCGCCGGCGGTAATGGCGGCCTCGGACGCTGTCGGTGAATTGCGGTAGCGGGTCCGTGGGACCTTTCGCCCATGTTCATCAAGATCGTACTCGAAATGGTCTTGAGATTGTGCGGCTGATCTCGAAGTAGGCGTGTGGCGTGTCTCCTCATCCAATTCTCTAGTTCGGTCGATTGACATCTTGTCTGGGGTAGCGCTAGCCCCACGACTTTGCGGCTGCGGCTCATCGTATGATAGCGCAGACACTCGTGTACCTGTGCCATTTTCGTAGCCCGACATTCCGGTAACTACAGACTGATCCACCATGGAGCCGTCAACGAGGGAAGCGACGGCAGACTCTACACCGAGAGGAGGGTTGACCACGTTGGGGTTGGCAGAGATACCCCGAACCTCTTGGCCGGCGGCAAACTGCGGTGCCGGGCTACCAAGTTGAAGAGAATCTATGGAGTGGATGGAATGGGCTTGACATCGGTGATCGGGAGACTTTTCAGGAGACGAAAGGGCGGCATCGACAGACTGCATGCTCTTGGATGTGCGTGGCAGTGGGGCCTCACTTCCTCCTTCTGTGTAACCAGAGACGCTGGGGATAGGACTGAGGCCACGAGCACCAGCCTGATATGGCACGTATTTGAGGGGATGTGGAACATCCTGTATGTTGTTGTAGAGGCTGTTGGAGTAGGGGTCGTCCACATAGTCTTCATACTCGGGTACTTCTCGAGAAGCTTGCCCGCCGTAGTAGTCGTATTGGCTGACAGGCACCTTGCGGCCAAACTCGTCCGTTTCATACTCTTCGACGTATTCCTTTTGGCCGCGAGGGAGATTAGTCAAGTCTCCGTGAGACACATTGGCATGTTGCATAGATAGAGGCCTCGGTGGCTCGCCGGGCGATCTGGACGGCGTGGGAGTCGAACGGACGGACACCATGTGCTCTTGAACATCGCGGGTGGGCGCCAGTTCCTCGGTGGCAGAGTGAGGTCGATCTGTTTCAGCAGAGAGAATAGACGTCCTTGTGACTTCCGAAGGATTTATGTCGCTCATCAAAGGCATGGGAGGTGCGGGTTCGTCATCGTCAAACTCATCGACGTAGACATCTCTGCCCACGCTTCGACTTCGAGAATGGTCGGCTCTTCTGCGACGTCTATCCCTTTGTTTCCTCTCGGTTGAGTCTGGGTCATCATCCAGTGCTGAAGAGATTCCCTTAGCAGCCATTGCTCCAGCTGCGCCCGCTGCGGCAGCTCTTAGCAAATTGCCGTCACGGTGAGGCGATGCGGTCGCTTCCTCGTGCGTTGTATAGTCAGCACCGAGAGAATCTTGGCTCGGGCTGTGCAAGGACACGTTTTCGTAATCGTGGCGCGCCTCTCTATTGCGCTTTTCCTTATGCCGTACATTTTCTTTTGAAAAGTCGCTTTTCTGGCCAGAAGATCGGCGTTTCTCAGTGTACACATCATCCCTAGAAATGGAGGTACCAGTTGATGCGATTGATGACCGCCGGCCTTCACGCTTACTTTGTTCTCTCTTCAGAGCACTCAGTTCAGGTAGAATGAGACGGCGAATGGCGTCTTCGACAGTTTCCAGCAGCTTAGGGTTGTTGATAGAGGAGGTCTTGGAAGCGCTTGACTTGACCGAGCGGTTACCAGCCGACAAATTTGAAGAAAGCAGACTCGAATCGCCGCCAGATATATGTGACTCTTGCTGAGTTCGACTGGAGCGGCGTCGGGGAGAGCGAACGTCGTCGGTGTGATCTCCGATGCTGCCCGTCCGGCTCTTTGAGCGACGCTTCTTGTCAGATGGCACTGACTTGTCCCTTGAGCGCTCTTGTACCTTCGTTCGCTCTTTGTCGCTTCGCGTTTTTCGGTTGTGCAAAGCCTCGCCTGCGACCGCACCTGCCAGTGCCGTAGCAGCAGCCCCGGCCATGATGTCGCCTTTAGAGTGCTTGAGTTCACTCATGCCACCAGTGCCATCCAGAAAACTGTCTGTTGGTATAGCCGATATGTCGGAGGGGTTTCCCGGCATGTATGAAACTCGGTCATCCGACGGAATTAAAGGACTGGCGGGTCGGCGGCGACGGTGGCTCCGCTCAATCTCAATGTCGATGGGGTTCCTGGAGACATTGGATTCTTCGGTGGCAGAGGCGTAGGAGGTCATGCTATGAGCGTCGTCGCCCTCGGGGGGCTGCAACTCTCCTGAAGCTTGGTCGAGGGGGGTCCGGCGAGTGAGTGAAACCTTCCGTGAACCCTTTGTTTCTGTGACTTGGAAGTGGTCGCCTTTGCCTTTTTTGGACGGAGTGAGGCGAACACGGACGCTGGGTTTGCGTTCGGCTGAGGAGGAACCCTTGCCACCCTCAAAGTATTCAATGAGAAGTGAGGTCTGAGACTTGTTGGCCTTGTGACCGCGGGTGCGGATGGTTACTGGAGTGCCGTCCTCGGGGAGTGAGTAGGTAGATTTGTCGTCGCCAGGTTTGGACACATCAGTGGTCAGGTCGGTGGCGAGCTCGGTAGGCGTTGTGGTGTCGTCGGTTTCGGTTGGCGCAGGCAATGGGGGGATTTTTCTGTCAGCGCCCATTGTGGCACAGCCGCTCGGCCAGATGGATCGTGCGGGTAGACCAGGCCTCCCAGGCGGCCGCTATGTGTCGAGTAAATAATTCGCAGGTTTGACTGGCGGCGAACTTGCGAAGCGGCAAGTTCAAATGTCACGGCGCAAATGGTGAAGAGGGCGAATATCAAGACATTCGGAATGAAGAATTGAGCCCGCTCGGCAAATCAAGTCAGAAGCGAATCTGCGACAATTGTTAGATTGGGGGCACCGAAACAAGTCCAACTGCAGCATGCATGAACCTAGGTGGCGGGCAAGTAGAATAGGTACAGGTAGAGAGAACAGGGGCATGGAGATGGGGAGGCGGCGACGGAGTGAGCGTACTGTAGAGCGAACACCGTCGGGAGCAGTGTGCATGTATGAGAAGGCGGGTGAGAACAATATGAGTTGAAATCAAACGCAGGCTTGAAACCGGACACCAAGAGGAAATGCTGAGACGACGACAAACGACGACAAACGAAGGACGGGAGTTTGTGCGGATGAAGCAAACAGGCGGATCGGTTAACGGTTAGCGGCGAATAGGTAGAGATGCGCTGAACGAAGAAAGATGCAGATTAAAACACAAGCCGAGAGGCGGAAGCAATGCAATTATGCGTAGTATGGACGTCGAGGGTGATCTTGTTGAAGGCAGATGAGGGGAAATGGAGAGAGCAGCGGCGGAAGCAATGTCGTTGTGCGGCGCAGGCGCAGACACGGGCTGGGCTGATGGAGAAGTGAGGACAAGCGTAGCGTCGTCTTGGGGGGTGTGCGAGTGGTTATGGCGGTGGTGTGGGTGAGAGTGGTGAGGAGGAGGAGCCAAATCGGCAGAGGGACCAGGTTCACTGGCTGGAGAAAAGCACGGTCCAGGTGAGGGGGTTCGAAAAGACGGAGAGAGGAGAGAGAGCGAGAAGGAGAAACAGGTGAGGTGAGGCTTTGTTATTGTCGCGCAGACCGGAGCACAGAAAAAAAGACGGCCAGAGGACGAGAAGAAGAGAGCAGACAGGGATGGCTGGATTGATGCGTTGGCGGTGCCGATGAGCTTGGCCAATAGTGGGAGGAATTGGATGGCAAGGCAAGGCAGTCAGTGGTTGAGAGGAGGGGTGCGATTTGAAGAGGCTTGTGATTCGCCCGCAGCCAGGGTTCTGCAAGGCAACGATGGCGTTGAAGCAAATTGGAAAAAGACGAGGAAGGTTAATTATCGAGGTACGCCCTAGTTGGCCTATCGCACGGTGACGTTGACACTTAAGTTAACTCGAACTGGATGAGATGATGTGGTATGCATCATGATGGTATGGTATAACTAGATCCTAACTGGACGCATTGGTGTTACCTACTACCTGTAGATATATGGGTTGCAGGTTGGTCAGTAGCAACATACATCTAAGCTGCTTGTGCAAGATAGCAGCTGTATCCGTAGCAAATCCTGGCCTTTCATCACAATCACAATTAATATCAACACAGTAATAATGTACTGAGGACTGAGGGGTGCAACTCGCATCGCATCATTGTTCCCCAGCCAATTCAGCCGCGGGGAAGGCAGGCCGGGTACACTTACATAACTTAAGCACCAGCTAATAAACGAGCGTAAAAAAGGCACCAGTCCTTGGGCCAACAGTGGTGCCCAATCTACCTGAATACAACCCCAGCACTGTAAAACTGCCAAAATGCCCTGTAACAGGGCCATTGCATCCGCCAAGGTACCTAACCCAAATACAGAATTTACACTGCAGGAAATTCCACAACCCACGACATTATCCTCCATTCTGCAATGCTCCCCAGACATCGGGATATTTCTCACTTGTCTTTTTATTAGCAACAAGCCATTGTGTCCAAAACTCTATATTAATTCCCACTTTCTCCCATCACACCGCAACAGCAGGGTCCGCCACTACTGCCGCCCCCACTGAACAACCACACGCCCCCCCTCCCCCCCTCCATCTGTTGATGGGGGATTCAAGTTAGCCCAGCGTCAACCTCACCAAAAAGCCACAGCTTGCTCCTTGCTGGCCCAGTAACCGACGCTCGTAGTCATGGGCGACGGTCATCCTGGCGTCGTTCTTCCTCCCATCCTGATGCGCTCGGTCGTGAAGAACAAAGAAAGAAAAGAAAAAAAAGAAAAGAAACCGTAAAATGACTGCCCGGTAATTCCCTGCTTCGTGCGGGGTCTTTTTCTCTTTTTTTAGCCGAATGTCAAGGCTGGCATGTTCTTGTTCCCGTCCGCATTCCAGTCATCGGAAAGACGCCGCACGTTCGATCTGAATCTACCGGCTGGGTTTGCGCTTGATTTTGTGCAACCAACTACCATCTATGGTGGATAGGGGCACATTATTCATTGAATTGGGATGTGCGCTCAAATTTTGCCAAAAAAAAAAAAAAAAAAAAAAAAAAAAAAAAAAAAAAAAAGAAGCAAAAAAATCAGAGACTCGGGCATGAGTTCTCGTCCATGGTACCTCCAAACACGAAGCCATCCCATTATCGCCCCAAGTCAGCTCATCGCACCATAGACAGCAGACAGCCGAGCAACAACCCCGGTTCCCAGCGCCTGTCCAGAACCGGCACCGAATCCAACACAAAAATCCTAGAAAACAAGACCGCCTAGTGATAAACCTTGATCCTTCCCGCATAGCCGAATCAGCTCTGATGAAGACCAAATCTCGCACTCGCACACTTGGCCCTGTTGACTCGGAACTTGCACCTCAGCTTTCAGTCTTACCCTACATGTCCAATAAGATTGAGTCAACCAACGTTCAGCTCACGAGAATGAGATGAATGACCGGCGAGAACCAGGACACATTAACTTACCTTTACCAAAAATGATAACTTTATGGCGGTGGGCCGCTGCTGCCTTGCACATCTTCTAGCTCTAGGTCATCCAACACATGCATCTTTGTCAATTTAAACCGCCTCCTTTCCAAGTCACTCAACTCAGGCCGCAAGAGCGAGCGCGAACATTAACCACGTCTGTTGCGTGGAAAATGGAGTTGAAGGAGTGCCGTGCGAAGGAGTTGAATTAAACTGGCCGCTCTCACATGGGCTCATGCCTTCTCCCATCTCATTGTGGACCAGAAACCTATTACATGCTACTTTGCCAAAAGCGTGAAGAATACCGGTTTTCTTGTTCCGGTATTTAATTCTTTCTTTCTAAGAACAAGACTAGTCTGTTTCAGCTATTCGGCTGCGCCGTCTACTTCGTGTGGCCGTTGTGCAAGTGTTGCTCCTGTGATACAAAATCCTCCATAGTTACCCCGCCCCCGCGTCTCTCATCAGCTTATAGACAACCAGTCAATAATTGTGTCTGTCCTCGTTTCAGGAGGCATGTACCAGCGCATTGGCAAGCAAAATAATCGCCAAGAAAAAACGACAAACCCGCTCAGAAACGCCCTTGCGTACCGACGCCCTTATGGTCGGTACGTCGTATTACAACAACATAATGATAACAAATTCAACGATCGAATAGCGCCACCATACAAATGATGATGAGATCGCTTTTGCCACACGCAAGCATCTCAACCAACGAATCGCTTCTCAAACTCGGTATACAGCTTGGGGCTGATCTCGTCGCTACTTAGGCCCTCGACTTCGACTAGTACACCCTTCTTGGCGTAGTGTTCCAGTAACGGCTCGCTGCTCTCTTGGAACTTCTGAAAGCGTGCGCGATACACCTGTTCGTTGTCGTCGGGACGCTGCACCAGCGCCTCGCCGGTGACGTCGTCGATGCCCGCTACCCGCGGTCGGTTGAACGTCGTGTTGTAGACTCGTCCTGAGGGCTCGTGCACCCAGCGGCCGGCGATACGCTCCAGAATCACATCGAAAGGCGTCTTGATGGCCACGGCCAGGTTGATGGGCACGATGCGGTCGAGGCTTAGCGCTTGCGCCGCGTTGCGCGGGTATCCATCCAGGATGAAGGACGCGGCCGGGTCCTCCGAGGCTTGCGGTGGCGGGCCGCCCATGTCTTCGTGCGCGAACGGATCGGGATAGAGTGAATCGGCGGTGGTGTCGTAAGAGTCGGCGGTGGTGGCCATGGAAGACAGAGTCATGATGTTGGGGCGGTGACCGTAGAGCCAGCCTCTGTGCTGAAGTTCATTGGAGATGAGGCGCAGCATTAGGTGGTCAGCGACGAGGCCGCCCGACTTCATGATGCTCTCGACCTGGATGCCTGCGTGGGATATAATTAGCATACGAGAGCACGGTGCTGAAGCAAGGGCATGCGCAGGACGTACCGAGCGGCGTGCGCTTCTTGACATTGGTCCGGAGCAGGTCCCCGGTGCTAATGGCCTGTAGCTGGGGAAAGCGCTTCAGCAGGCGTTCGCTCTGGGTGCCCTTACCGACGCCGGGGGCTCCCACGAGGAGCACACGAGCGGCGCGGTTCAGATGCATCGTCGGTCGGCGGTGGGGGCGAATTTCCCGTCTCTTTTAGGAGAAAAGGTAGGCGAAGTGAGAGGAAAGAAAAAGGACCCTGCAACTCGGAGAGAGAGCGACCTTCACGAAACCGACTGATTAAACTGGGGCAGGAGATAAGGACGTCCCAGGAAAGTGGCCGAAAATGTAGTCTATACCGGGAAATGGCGAGAAAAAAGAGGGAAAAGAAAAAAGCAGAGAGTCTACGTAGTGAGATGGAAATAGAGAAGGGAATCAGAATTATAGTATGCAGGGAATTGTCGGGGGGAGAGTTGTAGGAGGGGGAAGGTAGTGCGGATGGGATGGGTGAGATGTTGAGCAGGAACGGAGATATGGAGGTAAGAGAAAGTAGTTGGCAGCCTGGGGAGGAGGCGCACTCGACAGACAAACAGGGACACCAAGAAGCACAAGCCAAAAGCCACCAGGAGAGCGCTAACTAATTAGAAGAAGGGTTGAGAGGCTGAGGCGCAACGAAAATGTACTGATTTCCCGAGTGAGAGGGGGATCAACAAGATCAATCACTGCGAACAGTAACCAAGGTTGTGGAGTACTGAAACAGATTCGGAACTTGTCATCCCACCAAATGCAAGGTGTGTAAGCTTGTACTTGGTACATAAGACTTTTGGCGTGAGCTGAGTTGCATGCCAGCGGATCCTGTTGGGGCGGGGAACCGAGATGGTCCCGAATGCTAGCGAGGTACCTGGTTTCAGAGTGGTTAAACCACTTTCTAAGAAGTACCGTGCCATCTCGAACAGCCTTTTGGGCATGACGCGCTCACGCCGCTACCGGCACCTTCCCCCTGGCCCGACTGTGGGGGATGCCGTCCGCTGCCGACCGCCATGGCACCACGAAACTCACTCCGCAACTACCTTGCTGCCTGGCCCTTCATGAGATATTACTATATACGTGAGTAGCTAATGATAAGCCATGACAACGACTGCATCGCTATATATTAATCCCCCACATTTGTTTCTTCCTTCTCTTCTCTTCTCTTCTCTTCACTGTCTTTGTACCTGTTTTCCTGCTTGTTCCCCGAACTGGACTGCATACTCCTGCCGAACCCTAACCCAGCTCGCCCACACATCGGAATGTTGCTTGCTCGCCTGCCCGGAATATTAACGTGTCACATGTAACTTGCCTCGCTTCTCGCCCGCATAGCCGATTCAGTAACGAAATCATGCCATCTCATGCCAGGATCGTCCCGAGCTATACTTGGGCTACGCGGGAGACCAGAGCTCCCTTTGCCTGAATGATGACCGGAGAGTTTGGCACCTCTGCTTTGACATTTTACAGTAAAGAAAACCAATACTATTCTTCCAAAATCAAGACAAATGTCAATCGCGCCTCTACCTCATATGAACTCCCTGTCTTCCTGTCTTTAGGGAAGCGAGATGATTCCCTGACCACACGAGAACAAAAACAAACGAACTGTTGAGAGCAGGGCAGTCAATCAGCTAATCTTTGGCCAGGGGAAGGGAAACATAATAAATCGACCCTAATCCCTCACCAAATCAACTGTTGCACAGTGAAACGACCCTCCAAGACTGTTGACGTGCTTGAACGGCAGCAAAATGGGCTCCATGCCAAACTTGTCTTTAATCCATTCCGCAAGGTCGGTCGACTGTTCCTCGAGAAAGATGTGCTTCTCGTCCAGGCTCAAACCGTTGAGCACTATCCAACCCGACACTATTGGCTGCTCCGGGTTGGGCAGGTTGGGATTTCTGGCGGGATTCTTCGGGAGATGGTAGGCGTGCATCTCCCAGCCCTCCAGCGCTTTTAGCTGGCGCAGCGCCCCTTCGCCAATGTGAGTCGGGTTGTACACAAGCAGACCCTTGCGTAGCGGCAAGAGAGTCGCGTCGATATGCATCACACTTGGGTACTCCGGCTTGATGATCTCCAGCGTATACTCTGCCGGCAGCATCGCCCGTAGGTAGTCGATGCCTTTCTGGTTGGTGACGTGGCTGGGCTGCCCGATGATGTACTTGCCAAACCGCATAAAGTCGGCCGCGTCAAAAGCCGGTCGGCTGTCGTTGACGGCCCAGTCCCGGTCCGGGTCGAAGCACCACTCCTCTTTGCCATCGTGGATGGTGTTGCGCCCGTGCAGCACCGGCTGCCGGAACACATGCCACCCTGCCTCTTCTGGGTGAGAGAACTGGCTCATGATTGTGCTGTAGGCCAGCTCAATCTCCTTCTGTCGGCAATCCCACGCCGGGATTGACTCGATCAGCCTGTTACCAACAGTCATCAGCCGGTCCCGAGGCATCGCCCCCGTGTATCCGCCATGTTTCAACCAGTCCACCTCATCTGGCCGGTACACCTTGACCCCGTACTGCTGCAGCACACACGCGAACCGGTCCAATTCCTTCTGCGCATTTTTCACAATCTCGGGGGAGAACGGACTGTGAGGCCGGAAACGCTCCAAGTAGTGTCGAGGCATAATAGCGCCCATCAGATGTTGCGGCGCGTTGGGATAGCACGAATGCTCCGCGCGACCGACAATGACGGCCTTGAGCGGTGACCACTCGTTTTCGGCATTAACGAGCATCCCATTGGATGCCACGCCAGACACGCTATTCATGGCAACCCTCATGATCATTCAGACAACGGGGGGGACAATCGATAAAGAAAGTGCTGGCGAGAAAGAGAAAGTGATGGATAGTGGAAAGTATTGGAGAATCCTTGGGAGCAACTTATCTCTGGGATCGGATACGACTGCCATTTATACCCTGCGATGATGGCCTTTCCCCATTGGCCTGCATGGTGTAAGACACGTCACAGGGCATGAAGTCTATTGTATTCCTCTCGTGAGACATGCAGCCGCACTTTTGCTTGTAGTTGGGCTTCACAGTACTGAGGCTGACCCGAGCCCCTCATATCTCGAAATCCCACTTTATCTTGTAAAAGTTTCTTTTTCAAGTCGATGATGCGTGCTATCCTGATGCCGAAACCCATTGCCACCCGCTATGGTGCATGGATATTGGGACGACATGCACTGAAGTAACCCCAACCGTTAATGTTGTACGACTTCCACTCAGCCATTGAATGCGACATTAGCCAAGTTCTAGGACTAGACCAAGACCAGCATTGCATATCCGTGCAGGTTATGCAATAATAAAGGATTGACGCAGCCGACCATTCGTACAGAGCTGTCATGTTGCGGTGAATTCAGCCAGCCACAGACGACGGCAAAACAGCTAATAGATCAATTGATTCAGTTTAATGAAAGAGAGATCGGTGCTTTTAGGCAAGTTATCTTAGATCTCGCTGGCAGTATGTCTCTCGCCCCCCTCTTCACGCCGCACCTCATTCTATATTCCCCATCCCTCCACACGAAAACAAAAAGAAGATTTTCACCTATTCAATGCAATGTTCTTGATTGATTAATTGATTATTCATTAATCTAATTTCTTTCTTGTTCAACTGGTCGGCTAGCATTTGGGTTGCCTTGGGCGGCCTTGCAACCGCTGAGGCATGGGCGACTGCCGAAGCACTTCGAATGCATGTTATCAGACGGCATTTATGCCCCCGCTTTCTTGACACCCGCGAGCGCCTGTGAGACTGGTGATCGGAGTACGCATGTTTCAAACAAGTAATGATGTTGAGGATTCGGCCAAGTTCAAATGTCGAGAGGGAAAAACACACGTGACCCTTCACGTGATCTCGGTCCCGAAATGCGGACACCGCTCAGCAAAATAACGGTACGTAACTGGCGCGGAGGAACCGGTTACTAGCTCCGTGACCCAGGGCGGCCATGCCAGCCAAATCTCACTAGATCCTGATCGAAGGCTCTGGCATCCATTGCGGCGACTTTTCGTCTTCTCAACAATCCCATCGCCATCCATCGCCGCCGACACTCCCCATGCTTGCCTAAGCGCGCGCGACGTCCCCGTTTACTCCATTTATCAGATCGACACCCGCCCATCACCATGAGCGCCTCATCAAGGGCGGCTCGCCTGGCGACCCGCGGCAACCTAGGGGTTGCTTGTAAGTTCTGCTGCTTCCGCCGCAACCTTGTCGCGTCAGCTAACCTCGCTGCAGCGCGCCACATCTCGCGCAGTGTTCAGCCTGCTCTCCTGTCCCGGCACATTCTGCGCCAGTCACAAATCCCCGCGCTGGCGCTGCTCGTTCCCGCCCGCTACATCGGTACCGAACATCACCGATCCGATGCCTCGGCCGGCCCGCCTCCTGGCTTCAATGCCGAGCAGGCTAAGAAACCTCTCGCTAAGGAGGCGGCTGCTCCCACGAAGACGGCTGCAAAGGACAAGTCTGCGTCCGAGGCTGGCTTGTCAAAAGACGAAGCTAAGATGGAGGAGCTGATGGCTAAGTCAGACGAGCATGCGCAGCAAAAGGAGTTGCTGAAGAAGGAAAAAGAAGAAAAGAAGCTCACCCTCTGGCAAAAGGTTAAGAAGGAAGCTCGTCACTACTGGGATGGCAGTAAGCTGCTGGCAGCTGAAATCAAGATCAGTTGGAGATTGGCACTCAAGATGGCAGCGGGGTACGAGCTGACCCGCAGAGAGCACAGGCAGCTTCAGCGAACTGTCAAAGATTTGGGACGTCTTGTGCCGTTTTCCGTTTTTATTATCGTGCCGCTGGGTGAAGCCCTTCTTCCACTTGCTCTCAAGCTGTTCCCCAACATGCTGCCTAGCACATTCGAGGGGCAAAAGTCCAAGGAGGCCAAAGCCACTCTCCTTCGAAGCACAAGGAAAGAGGTCAGCAGTTTTCTGCGCCAGACACTTAAGGAGACTGGCTTGCCCCTCACTGCTGCCGCGGCACAAAAGGAAGAATTTGCCAACTTCTTCCGCAAGGTCCGATCCACCGGTGAGGCGCCCACCAACGAGGACGTCATCAAGGTCTGCCAGGTCTTCCGTGATGACCTGACGCTCGACAACCTATCGCGCCCCCAGCTCGTTTCCATGTGCCGCTACATGACCCTCAATACCTTCGGTACCGACATGATGCTCCGTTACCAGATTCGTCACCGCATGAAGCAGATTAAGAGAGATGATCGTGCCATCAGCTTTGAGGGCGTTGACAGCCTGACCGTTGCCGAGCTGCAGATGGCCTGCGCTGCTCGTGGCATCCGCACCCATAGCGTCTCGCCCGCTCGCATGCGCAGCGATATGCAGACTTGGCTCGATCTGCGTCTCAAGGAGCGCGTTCCCTCCACGCTCCTTGTCCTGAGCAATGCCTATATGTACGGCCAGGGATCTGGCGAGGGTGGCAGCCAGATTGAGGCGCTTATTGGTGTCCTTTCCTCCATTCCCGAGGAGCTGTACCACGAGATCGAGCTTGAGGTCCACAACGCCGAGGGCGCTGCTACCAATAAGCAACGTCTCGAGGTCATCCGCGAGCAACAAGATCTGATTGAGGACGAGAATGAGCAGAACGAGGAGAGCCAGAGCACCGGCATGGCCACGCCTCGCGATGTTGAAGACATTGACGAGAAGGAGGAGCGCGAGCAGCATGCCCAAGAGGCTGGTGCGGGTAAGAAGCAAGCTGGCGAGATGGTCGATGCTGAGCAGGACCAGGCACAGGTTGCGAAGGAAGAGGTCAAGGCTGCTCCGCCCAGCGAACAAAAATAAGCGAAAAGGGTCCCTGACGATGCGCCATTTGGTACACCGAAGACCTCCATTCTTTTATCATAATTCTACGACTTGTCTTATTTTCTTATGTACGACTTTTTACGGCATTACTTGGACAGCAAATGGCCTGTAACACTACTACAAATCAAACACGGAATTGGAGTGGAATTTGGGGACAACGCAAATAGACATATCTCGACACAACTGGAATAGCAAATAGAATCTGCATTTTTCACCAAAATTGAAGTGAAGAGGAATTAATTGTAGCGTGGCAAGAGAGCGAAGAATGCTGTTGTGCTGCCTGTGCTGGTGGCTTGAGAGGATGACGTAATCGTAGTTACTGCTGTTCGCGGCATTGCTGTCAGGGAAGCTGCAGGCGGCACTCCCCCACATTGACAGCTCACTTTACCATCCTGCATTTGACCCAGCTCATCTCTGCATAACTCGTCATCGTCCATCTGCTAGATCTGATTCTATTCAGTGTCTCTACAGCGTGCTGATACAAACTCGCAGTTATCCATCGTCGCTTCTTTCTCGCCGCGCCGAGCTTGAGTAGCCGCGCTGTGTTATCTGTGACATCCCTCTACTCCGCCTCGTCCGGCTTGAGCCGAAAGCCACGCCTCTACCTCACCTTCGAATACACGGCATCGCAGAGAGCAACGCCCAGCATGACTTCAACGGATCCAGACCGCGAACAAGACAACTTTTCAAGCGTCTCATGGAGCGAGCACACCGATGGCGTCCCTGCGCAAGAAACGGGCGCCTCAGAGGGCGGCGGCGCTGCTCCGCCTTCGACTGGGAAGGTTGGACTCCCGCACGATGCGGCGGGCGACGGCCACATTCTGGACTGCACCGTCGGAACCCCCATCAAGGAGAATGACGGCAGCAAGGACGCGTTTGTATCCTACCTGATTACTACCCACGTGCGTTGATGCTCGACTTGACCAGCCACCTTGAGCTCGGAGGAAGATGCTAACCTGCGGCCATATAGTCTACTTTCCCCTCGTTTCAGAGAGAGGACACTAATGTGAGGCGTCGATTCACCGACTTCGTGTTTCTCTATAAGCAGCTTATGCGCGACTTCCCGGCGACCGCAGTCCCTCCCCTCCCCGACAAGCAAAGGATGGAGTACGTCCGCGGCGACCGGTTCGGGAGCGACTTTACCTCGCGCCGCGCACACTCGCTTCAACGGTTCCTCGTTCGCCTATCACTTCACCCGGTGCTGCGACGCGCACCTATCCTGCACAACTTCCTGGAGAGTCCGGACTGGAACGCGACGGTGAAGAGCAAGACGACACGGGCGAGCGTGCAGAGCGACCCGAACGGGTCGAGCGGCGTCTTTGACAACTTTGCCGATACCTTCATCAACGCTTTCACCAAGGTGCACCGCCCTGACAAGCGGTTTATTGAGGTGAAGGACCGCAGCGATAAGTTGGACGAGGATTTGAACCACATCGAAAAGGTGGTGGCGCGCGTGGTCCGCCGGGAGTCGGACCTAGAGACGGACATGCGCGACCTTGCGGAGCAGTTCCAGAAGCTCATCACGCTCGAACCCGGTGTTGAGCCCTCGGCGCATGCCTTCGCCGCCTCCATCGAGGACGCAGCCACCGGCCTGCGCACGCTCCGCGACGTCACCGACCAAGACTACCTCGGCTCTCTGCGCGACCTACAGGCCTACTCGCTCGCTCTCAAGAACCTGCTGCGCGCGCGCGAGCAGAAGCAGCTCGATTTTGAGCAACTCACTGAATACCTTAACAAGTCGACCGCTGAGCGCGACCAACTCCACGCAGGCCACTCCGCCTCCGGTCCTGGCGGCTTCCTGCGCGCCAAGCTCGAGGATGTTCGTGGTGTCGACCACGAACAGGCCCGCCGCGAGCGCACCCGTCGTCTAGAGCTCCGCGTTGAGGAGCTCACTCGCGAGGTCGAAAACGCCCGACACACCAGCGACTTGTTTGACGACGAGGTCGTCCGCGAGACTGCCGACTTTGAGCGTATCAAGCGCGTCGAGATGAAGAGTCAACTCGCTGGCCTGGCCGATGCCCACGTTGCATTCTATGGCTCTGTCATCGACATCTGGGAGAGCTACATCCGGGAGATGGAGAAGCAAGGTATCGTCGCGGCGTGAAGAGAAGGGGTCGTTTTGTGCATAATCTGGCTGTCAACTATTGTATATACTCTAAACCACCAGTTAACATACGGCCAAAACTCTCTCTTTTTGATTTAACTCTTAGGCGCTTATGAGGGAAATTTAGCAATTCAACACATTTAAACTCTCAAGAATTAAATAGCATGATACGATGTAGCATGTAAAAGAGTAATAATTGGACTTGTTCTCTGTGGTATAGTTGCTTTACTTTGTCTGCCACAGATGCTTCCTCACCGGCTTCCCTGTCTCTGTTGTTTTTAAGCGAGTAAAATGATGCAATACAATGACGATACACAATAGAGAGAATATATAGAAAAAAAAAGCACAACCCCGTTATCCCAATGAGAGAAACCATAAAACAGGAAAAAAAAAGACACCAGTGTTATGATGGTTAAAAGATGCAAAAAACAAGAGGTTCGCTTTACTTTGTCAAGGCGCGTCCCTGACCGGCCTTTTCATCCACAGCAGCATCGTCCTCGTCCTCGCTTTCATCGCCAATGACGTGCTGCTCCTCGTCTTCGGGGAGGTGCTCCACGCCCGCGAGGCGGTCCGCCGAGCGATCCCGATAGGCGTCAAACTCGTCCGCGTCCGACTCCTCGTCCTCGGAGCTGCCATCCGCAAAGGCGTCGTAGAGCTCGCCGCCGCGGGTGCGACGGCCGGACTTGCCAGAGACTAGGCCCTTCTCGATGCCGCCGGCGGCGGCGCCGTCGCGGCCGCCCTCCTCCTCGTCGAGGAGCTCAAACTCGTAGTTGCTGCGCGAGTCGTTGCGCAGGCGGCGGCGGCGGGCAATGTAGAAGAAGATGCCAAGGCCGATACCGAAGGCGCCGATGAGGCCAGCGGCGCCGTAGATCCAGATCTGGGCCGTCTTGGAGGCGCCAAAGGATGGCAGCCACGAGATCCAGTTCGACGACGGGCTGCTCTCGGCGGGCTTCTGGTCCACGGGCGTGCTGGCCGGAGTCGTGGTGGTGGGCGAGGGCGCTGTGTCTCCACCGGCGGGCTTCGTCGGCCGGTTGATATGGTCGTCAGGCACAGAGACCGTCGGGGAGGGCTCAGAGGTGGCTTGCGGCGGGACGGAGGTGGTGGTTCCGGGAATGGTAACGGTCTCAACCTTGTCGTGGTCCACGTCGTCATTTTCAGTGGGCATTGGCAGGAGGCTGGCCTTGCCGGCGTCGATGGACTCGCCCCAGAGCTTGAGGCGCCAGTCGACGAACTTGCCGCTGTGCTGGTTGACGTTGCTGTCTCGGACAATGACCGTCCATTTTCCGACACCCTTCTCGCCCCAGTGAGCAACACTCATAAAGGTCCAGTCAACGTAGCCGCTGCCGTGGCTATCCATCCTGCGGGTGGTAGCGATGTGGCTGACGAAGCCTTCAGGGCTGACGAGGTCTACGCTGAGATCGCCGCGACGGGTGTGGTCAACATTCATGGTGACGGTGACATGCTCTAGGCGTTCGAGGTTGGCTTCTGTGAGCATATCCTGGGTTACCTCAAAGGTGGAGGTAACGCCCTCGTTACCCTGCGGAATGGGGGTCTTAACGTGAATCCAGGGGGAGAAGTACCACGCCTGGGGCTTGACCTGTTTCCAGGTCCTGGCCATCTGAACGATGCTGTAGCTATCGATTTTGCCGTATCCGAAGGTGTGCGAAAAGTGCTTGCCAATGGCAGTTGTATTCCAATCAGCGTTGGGGTCATCGACCTTGACGGCGGTTTCGAGGGCAAGATATTGGAGATCTCGCCAGGTCAGCTCCGGCCGAACTTGCATGACAAGAGCAAAGATACCAGCAGCCAAGGGGGCGGCGGCAGATGTACCCCCATGAGAGATGGTGCACTTATTAGTGCCCACATCGGTAGTGTGAATAGAGTCACCGCTTCCGCTGCTGTATGTGACAACGAGCTGCGCAGAGCAGTGCTCAGAGTAGTATGGGTGGTTGCCCTCACGGTCGACAGCACCGACAGTGATGCTGTAAATGGAGTTGGTGTAGCCATCGAAGTTGCAGTTATCTTCCGAGGCGGCGCCGTTACCAGAGGCAAAGACGTAAATTGTACCGAGACCGTGTCGGCCCTTTTGAATGCCCTCGAGCATAGCGCGGCGGATGAGGATACCAGGAGCCTCCATGGAACGGCCGTCATCTGGGGGCCCCCACGAGCAAGAGTAAATTTGATTTTTTTGGTACTCGTAAATCATGGCCTGGGCTTCGTCCATGTCACTGATGGGCTTGCTGAGAATGCGAATACCTGCCACCTTGGCATCGTAAGCGACGCCAACACCGCATACATCGTTCTTGACAGCGGCGACTTCGCCAGCGCATCGGGTTCCGTGGCCATCTTCGGGTAGTTTTGGTGATGGGTCTTGGCCTGGGTCGTTGTAGTCTTTGGATCCTTCGGCGAAATAGTTATCCTTGAGATCCAGGCTGTGCATGTCGAGACCATCGTCGACAATGGCGACAGTGACGTTCTTGCCGGTGACACCTTCAACCCAAGCGCCGGTCACGTTGACGTCGTGGCCTAGTTGAACCGGGTTGAACAGGTGCCATTGTCCAGGGAAGGTAGGGTCGTTGATCGAGAGTAGCTGCATGACGTTTTTTTGCTTGGTAAGTGCCTCCGCATTCGGCTGCTGTGATGCACGAGCGGCGTGGGGCAGGGGAGGCGGCGGGATACGCTTCTGCAGCATGGTGCGCGGCTGCTGTTTTCTGGCGAGGCGAACAGTGTCAAGGATATCGTGGGATCCGTCTCGTTTCCGTCTGCGCCATTCGAGGAGCTGTGGCTTGACGACATCGTGGTCGTATTTAGGGGAGCGGAAGATGTAGTGGTGGTCGAGAGCGCCAAGGGGGCCTTCGTGTCGCAGTCCAAGACGGTCAGCGACGTGGTCGGGCTGGACGCCTTCATCCAGATGAAGAACGTAGTAGTCATTGGCATCGTAGTCGGGCGCGAAATGCGCTGTTGAAACGGCGGCGAGGCCGAAGAGGCCAAGAAGCGCCGTAATCTTCATTGTAAGGATTGCTCTCGAGCGGCGAGAAGCAGGAGATGGAGTTGACGCGGGATTCGTAGATTCACCGCATCGAGAGTCGGAGTTGATTGCAGTGAGCGAAAGCAAGAAGCATGCGCAAACTGCGATTTACTCGTCAAAGTCTGGATTAGGTTTGCGAGGAGGCGGTCCGTCGCTTGCAGGAGGGCACGAGGGTTGTCGATGGCGGTTGTATATCGGAAAGCAACGCAGAACGAAGAAGCGTGACAGATTTATGAAATCCAAACGAGAGAAAAAAAGATGCCGTGCGCAGCCTGCTGAGACAAGGAACGGCAAGCCGTAGAAGGACACAGGAAATAGTCTTGGGTCAAGAATAGCAATGAATGATCTGAGGATGGGAAGCTGGCTGGCGTATGTCCAAACTCAAGATGCTAGATGGTGTCGTGGCAATTGGAGGCGCAGGGACGCTATGTCAGCAGATTGGTGAACCTGATTGGCTGGGCTTGTGCCAGGGGGCCTTGGGCGCCCCCTGGGCCAAGCACTAAAAGGAACAGGTCACAGCGGCACTTCTTTAGGCAGGTATGTAAGTTCAAATTTAGCGGGGCGCATAGCGGCTCGATGTGGTTTGAAAGAATGCTTGATTGCTCTGGGTCGGCAACTGCCTAGCATGTCCTGACAAATTAATACAACGTTTTCTTAGGTTATCAGATAAATGCGTATTCTTTGTTTAGATTTGTAATTAGGCTGGTTTTTTTTTTTTTTTTTTTTTTCCTTTTTTTTTGGTCTCGAATATCCACTAACAGCCAACACAGTTGTTGTCTTTGCCACTGTACCTAATTCAAGGAGAGTACCCTCTCATAAAACGGAGCCGCAAGCAATGACCACTGAAGCAGAGGTAGCCTGTACGCGCCAGCCCCTGTAACACCTGTCGAGGTTTAACGTGTTGTACCCTGAACCCTCTTCCCATCACGCGGCGATGCGACAGCACAGCCGGATGCCAATCAATCAATACAATCAAGATACACTTCCATGCTCGAAGTGAGTGGGAACTTGCCCAACACTAGTCTGGAATTGTAGCCGGCTATCGGGGCTGGCCATCTTCCCTGTCGCAGAAGCGTTGATCTTGCGGCGATGCACGCCTCATCTCCTAGTTACATAGCCGAGTCAGTACTCGGCGGTGATTACGGACTGCGGCAAAGCATGATAAATTGTTTCCAGTTTCACTGATCAATATTTATTTTGTCCAAATTTTAGAATAGGTAGGATCTACAATTACGCCATGTGGCTTCTTTCGTCTAGTGTCCGTACATATGGCGCTCAAGACTTGCAAGTCACGTTTTGGGCATCAATAACATCAATAAGGGGACAGCCTATTGAGCTCTGTTTGTGGTGCCTCATCAGCCAAATATCCCACCCCTCATTGTCTGTGTCACACCAGGTGAGGGGGGGGGCTTGACGGTCCTGCACCTCGACTCTCTAATTACTGGTGAGTTACGCTACAGATGTAAGTGATCTGCCTTTGATTCTCACAACAAATTATTTGCAGGGCGATGCTGTCACTATTTTGCAGCGTCCTGCTAAAATGGCGACTGAGAACACGAGGCCGATTGTTATATCCGGTCCCTCGGGCGTGGGGAAAGGCACCCTCATCGACATGTTACTCGCCTCGCATCCCGACCGGTTCACCAAGACCATCTCACACACGACTCGACCTCCTCGCCCTGGCGAGACTGACGGCAACCAATACTTCTTCATCAGCGAGGCCGAGTTCGCGTCCCTCGTCTCCCAGGACGCCTTCCTCGAGCACACTCTCTACAGCGGCCACCATTACGGCACCAGCAGCGCCACCGTGACGGACCAGCAGGCCAAGCGGCGCGTCGTCATCCTCGAGATTGACATGGACGGGGCGCGGCAGGTGCGCGACCGTGGCGCTGTGGACGCCCGTTTTGTCTTCGTCAGGCCGCCGAGCTTGGAGGCGCTCGAGGCCAGGCTGCGAGGACGCGGCTCTGAGTCGGAGGGGAGCCTGCGGCGGAGGCTGGAGAGCGCGCAGAGGGAGATGGCGCAGCTCGACTCCAGCCACGGGCTTTACGACAAGGTCATTGTCAGTGATGACTTGAACAAAGCGTACAAAGAACTGGAGCAGTTTGTGCTGGGCACGGCGACGGTTGCCGAGCGAGCACAGGCCCAGCCCGCAGGAGAGTAACCTTTGTCACTTGTATTGAGTGACCTGCCTGGTAATTATTTGAACCTGCAAAAGTTTGCGTTGATTTCGCGTAAGCATATTGTATGTTGATGAAATATTGCTGAGGAGAAAGATAGCACTGGCGTCTTCGGCTTGAATCCACCACCGCCAGCTTCCAACTTGCACGTACTGGCTCTAATTAGTAATAGATTCCCTCCCCTCACCTTGAAAAGGATATCTTAATTCAGTAGGTAAATTGGACATCGTCCAAAGAGCCTCATCCGGCCCGGCAGTGGCTGGGTCGGCCCAGTAGACACGAAGCCTAGCCCTGTTTTGAAAGTGCCTGAGAAAGCCGCTGCAGCGCACTTTATGACGATCCAATCAACTAAAAAAATACGACTCAAGTTAAAAAGATCGCTGGATGGGTGGGAGCACACGAACGGAAGTGGAGGGGGTGTATTCCGTATACGTGCACGTCTTGGGAGCTAGCTGAGGCTGGGCTGCACAGCTACCAGTACTGAAATTGAGGCCAGCAGTGCGAGCTGAGATGGATGCGAGCCAGACGAGTGGTCCATGTCATGGAAAGACCCCCTTTATAGGTAGAATAAAAGAGCAAGGTTGCATTCGAGTCACATTATCCACTTTGCAGACGCATCGCAGATAGGGCGACCAGAGAGGCTGAAACATGACAACGTCTCTCCCCGTCGATCCTTGGGCAAAGTGCGAAGAGAGTATTCCTTGGCGGACCACTTTGACATGGGATCGACAAGGGCGCAAGGCGATTTATCACGAATATAAGAGGATTGGAAATGCAATGATACTTGGCGGTGCGTCCTGGTCCCATCAGTATCGCGATGTCAGCCTTGGTTTGGCAATGCGCCTGCTTCTGAAGCTGTTTTGCGATAATTAGCAAGAACTAGAAAAGTTTCAACTATAGCGGACTCTACTCTAATTGCTGTATCCGTACCTCGTTCCTTCTTTTCTTGCCGACCGAGGCCGGTTCTAGAAGGAGTGGTTGGCTAATAGTTCTCACCATTCGACGGCGGTTCAGGCACTAGCACATACGCTACTTGATTTACATCTTTTGCGAGATGCACGAGAAACGAGATACCTTTTTATGCCCAACGAGGCTTTTGAAGAAGAATTGGCTTTGCGAAAGAACGTAGGCTTGTCGAGCTTCGTTGAGTCTTGGCCTGCTGTTGTTGCCATACTCTTGCCGCAACTTCCGTGCCCTCTCCGAAAGCTGCCACCTCATCAAGCTTCCTTTCCCAGTTCAGGGAAGGGGGCGTGTGAGCAACCTGGGCGCGGAACCACTAGATGACGACCCTACCAGGTATGAATTGGCAGCCCCAGCCTCGTCCTAGCGACTACGGGAGCATTTGGGGTCTGAAAATCACCAGGGGAGTCGGGGCCTAAAATATTACCACCAAGAGAGGGAAATCGTGATTCGTCGCTGGGCTTCATGGCCAAGGTGCAGGTCCGCCTCGTGCGTGGTAGCCCTGATGACGAAGGGTGCCCACGATGCGGGCGAGCCTGTCCGCGTGCTACAGGGCTGAAGAGCTGAAGAGCGTATGCATAGGTTCTCGAGCATGGTGACGAAGAAGGGACCCTGTGGTTGCCTGCGGTGAGCGGAATACCGCGGCGTCCACCCACCTTGGCGGCGTAGAGTCATCACGTACGTATGCATATGCAGGACCCTTCGGATTCCACAAGGCCAGCTTGCGCAAATATTCAGGTTCATTTTCTATGTACTCTATGGGCAGCAGACCGAGTCGGACATCTACCGCAGACAGACGAGGTAAATAAATGACAAGTAGAAGAGATCAATGTGAAAATAGGTGGGAGAATCGCCGCTCAGCGGCTTCCGACCGTAAGAAAAAAACAAAACAAAAGCAAAAACACGCAGTAACTGATTCATGGCTCTTTCAATTTTCGCCAGTTTCTTGTAACCATAAAACGCCAAAGCTCATTCAATATGTACACTGTAACGTAGCGTCAGCGAATGGTCGACTTGCATACACACTTGGCAGCCACGGGATCCTTACTGTAAGAGTCGTCACTCATCATCCTGTAAAAAACGCCGGCATGGGAGGCGAGCCTATGCAATAAAGGTACGGCGAGTCGTCCATGACCTGATCCTCCCCGCCGCCACCGCCGACAGCACCGTAACCGACAACGACCTGCGGCATCACCGGCTGACCGCCGCCGCCGCCGTACGACGCCGCCGTCAGGGAGTAGCCGTTGCTCGACGGGTTGCTGCTGTCGTCGCCCGCGTGCGTGTGCCGGCCGCGCCTGCTCTCCGCCTCGTGCCCGCGCGCGACGACGTGGCCCAGGTGGACGCCGCCCCAGGGCAGGCCGGACGGCGCGCCGCTGTCGCCGAGGACGTCGGCCGCACCGCCGGGGATGCGGTAGCTATTGCCGGCGTGCTCGAGGTTCCGCGCGTCGCGCTCGGCCTTTTCCCTGCTCTCCCTCGCCTTTTCGCCTAGACACGGGACAACGAGTCAGCAAGTTCATCTACGCTGTTATTGTATGGGAGGGGGGTTGGCTGTAGGAACGGAGACTTACGAAATTTGCGCTGCGCGATGCGGTTTTGGATCCGTCGACGCTGTTCGGGGTCGGTCACGTCGGCCCAGTCGGGGTCTTTGGCCTTTGCTTTGGAAATCTTCCTTGGCGACGAGGGTGAGGCCGGGCTTGATGTGTGGGACGACATGCTGATTTGAAGCGTCTCGGTTGACGTCGGATGAATGTGTTATATATTCTAGGACTTGGAGGAGAGTTGAAAAATTGTAATAGTTCTGCGAGTGACTTGTTGCTATCCAAGACAGCGCGAAGTATATATATCGTGGTGGCTCAAAATAGACACCATGGGTTCGAGTGGCGTATATATGAGACGTTCGTGTAGACGCAGCCTGGCCAGACGCAGGATTGACTCAGAGTAGCGGTATTGGGGGGAGCTCTGGTGCAAGTCAATAATGTCGTTCACGGGACTGACAAGTTGTGAGGAGTTTTCGTCTTGTTGTGTTGCAAGTCAAGTTGAAGTAAAAAAGTTCAGCGAGACTCTGGCGAGGTGCGACACCCGCTGTCTAATAATACCATCCTGGTTGGCAACTGAAATAGCACGGGAGCATCATGCCTGGGGCCAACTGGCCCCATTGATTAATAAATTCCTCTTCTACACGCCGTTCGAGCAAGGGACAGGATATGACATGCAAGAATAAAAGGGACTAGGAGCTCGCTAGGCAGACTATGGGCATCGTGGCCGACAGGGCAGAAGAGAAGGCAAAAGACGTGATGGAGGGGGGGTACGGCTGAGGCCGTGAACCACCCACAAGACGATATTTACTAGTAACTTGGCACTCCCCTCGTCGAATAGGTATCAGTTCCAGGGTCATCGGAGGTCGAGCTGAGGGGAAGGAGGGTAGGACGGGTAAGAGGGGTGTGTGAAGAGAAAGGAAGAGTTAACTTGGAGATGGGACTGGGCTGAGACGTTAGTTGACGTTATTAGTTGGGGACTTAGCTCTTAGGTTACATTGAGCAGGCAGGCGAGTTGAATGAGCCGCGCACCAGCATCCCGCCAATCCCTGCCAGGCACAAAGGCGAAAAGGCAATCGAGGAAGTGGAGGGGGAGTAGGGGGAGTACTCTATCATTAACCCTCGTACAGGTCTTGTGTGAGTGATATGAGTGGTTCGAGTTGTTGCCAAGTTGATTCACGATGATCAAGTCTGGGAGCTTGGCTGGGAAGGGCAGCTTGGCGGTAAGCAGCCTCCAGCAACCACATTTATGCTAGAAAATAAGACAAGAATTTGGCGCTTTCTATTTGCCCAACTTTGGGGTGCATTAGGTATGATTAAAATGTATGGGTTAGCACTCTGCTAAAATACTGTTTATGGTATGTTGGCGACTTGATACAGGCTGTACATGCATCTGCATTGGCCCATCCGCGCGCGGTCCGATGCAGGGGCGCGGGTATCCGGAACGACGGATAAAATGAACGAAAAGACGCCTTTTCTCAGGAGATCATCTTACAATAAACTGTACGTATAATACGTCTTTCTGGTTCTTTTGTATTAGCAATCAAAGGCGGCTGGTTGATTGTGACGAATTGCCCTCTTCGGTAATAGTTAGTCTTTATTATAGTGACAGCACCCCAACAGCCACAACTACCCACGGCCAACCCAGTAACTACAAGTAATTAAGTGCCCTCCATCCACGGACAAGCCACTGCCGACATATGCCGTACCCCCTGCAGATTCGTGGATGTTAGGATGCTGTCATGTGTCTGCTTTAAGCTGGTCCGACCTTGAGGTCTAGTTACTGGCAAAAGCCCAGAATGGGACATGAGAGACCCGTAGCACAAGGTGTCAATATAGTTGCCATCAGGGAAGACATGGCAATATTTACTGGCTTAAACCCTCTGAACAAGTTAGCATCTTCACCGCGCATCGTGGTGGCGCAGCGGTCGGGGCAGGCATCGTCAACGGCGACAGCCGAACGCCCTTGTGAACTAACTACTGAATAGGTCAGTATTATCTGTAAGTTTGCGGAGGCCCTTCCGCCACGGCTTACTGGGTTTTTATTACTGGCCAACCAACTAACCTACTATGCGACTGCACTAGCAAATGCGAGAAATACGAAACAACTCGACAGTCGCATTCCCTCTTCTTGCTCGGTGACTCAACTAATGTCTGTCTGTGATAAATGGACTAGAGAGACTTGACAACATGGCGCGCCGATAGCCCCCTTGATTATTCCAGCCCCCAGATGGGCCGACGAAGATGCTAGCGATGTATCTGGAACATCTTGATCGTCCACCGTGGCTAGAAGTAGACACCGATGCTGTGCACGGTTTGCGACCCCTAATAAATAATAATAATAATAATAATACGAGAGTAAAATGAAAAACTCTTGGACAAATGGTTTTATCGAAAATAATGGAATAAAGAATATGTCAAGTAGCATTAGCTACGAATCCGTCGTTGGAATCTCTGAACTATCCAAGCATTATACTCATGCACCTCACCTCCAACGCAACCTTGACAGTTCGTCGCAAAGCTTGCGACTTATCTTGAACAATAGGCAAGCCACATGGCAAGCAGCGCCCCCCCCCCC